GAAGCTATAAGGCTGTTTGTGAGGATTCTTTACTGTATCGATGTGAGTGAAGTTCTTCCGTGGAAATAGTGGCCGGTTCCATTGGACCGAACCGGGAATCGATCACCCCTAATTTTGATCATGCACGTTTTTTTCCTCTGTTAGTAATCCTAACATGCGTGTTGTCTCCCTGATGCTTCGTACTCTGCAGCCGGGCCAGCTCATGGTGCCCTCATCGTCATTATGGATTACATCTTTCGAATCATCATCCTCTGAATTGCTGTTTATCATGGGAAAACGTATATACGCAGAAATATTTGATTTTTACGCTTTCCTCATCTCCCTCTTTAAACCCTAGTATTCTCGTTTGGTCTAACCCCCCTTGGGTTTCTCTCTGTTCCTCGCTTCATCACTTTTCATGGCTCCCAATCCTCCTCAGTACTCTTCTACGGATTATATCGCCAATTTTGATGGCTTAAAGAGAGATGAACACTCCGATAATGACTGTTTTCATCTTTTGAACCTGATAAAAAAATACATCGAGCGTCTCGACCTTGGTCCCTGTTTCCAAAGTCATCTTCAAATTCCAGCCTCCCTTAAACCATGTTTTCCTCAACGGCATGGGGAGCTGTTTCCTATTCAGAGGCTTTCTATCATGGATATCTGGACTACCAACCCCTCTCATTTTCGAGGTTTTCCTTCTTTCGAAGCAGATTTCCACAGATGGTAGTTGCGGATGAAAGATGATCTTTGAATACTGCTCTACAACTTAGCAGTCTAATTTGTGACTTGGACCTGGGCTTTTTAGGTGCCTCCATCGATTAACTGCTTTTTTTTCTCTTGGGGCCTCATGTCGATAACTCTTTTAGATACCTACATTATAGCTGGTTTTCTCCCTAATGGCGTACCTATAAAGGATATCGGTCCTCCTGAATCTCTTAAGCCTACCAATGTTCCCGATAATGTCTTTGCTTACAGCAAGTTTTTCGATAGGTTTTACTGAACATCTAGTCCAATCACTGCTGCTTTTTTGACTTTCCAAGTACATCTTTTCAATCCATGTCGCGACCACCCCTCGAGGGCCGCCTCGGGGCGCGGGTTTAAAGGTAATTATTCATTGGAAATGCTATAAATAAATTATATCGGCTTAAAAAGGCGTTTTTCTTTGGATTTTTTGCCCATTGGGTTCACTTTTAATGAACGTGGATTGTCTCTCGCGTGACATGAGATTGATTTTATGTTTTTAACAATTAGGAGTCGCCACTAGCTTTTGTTGGGGGTCAGCTAGAATACTCAATTGAAACACGGGAATTTCGTTTCGATTTTTACGAAACCAGAGATATCTAAGTTCGGGGATTAGATTACGTTAATGTTTTCACTAACACCTTTTCGGTACCGCTAAACTTAATTTGGTTGTTTTCTAAGTCGTCATGCATTTGTTTTTTATCATTTTCATGTCAAAATCCTAATCCACTAAATGATCATGTATCTTGTTTTTGTGTTTTCCATTTATGATTATGAACTAATCCGATCTTCGTCTAGAAAAGAAATTAACAAACAATTGTATTGAAAGGCATTGCATAAAGTAAACACCCAATGTAATTAAAAGGCGAGTTCATCTAAATGCAAGAAAAGAAAATTCGCAACTCGTTGGGTATTTATTACAACACAAATGAAAAACCGAGACATGTTCGAGTGACACGAATTGGGCACAAAATGAGACCGGATTGGACATTGGTCTTTTGCCATCATCTTCAAAGCTTTTGGCCTCCTCCACCATGGTTCGTCTCATGGGTGTCGGTTTTACATTTGAACCATGCATTTTCAATAAACAACGTGTAAGCATACAATCTAAATAAAGCAATTACAATGAATCATCAAAGCATTGAATTGGCTCGAGGTTGGCCTTTGCCTTTCATGCGTTTCGATCACCCCCATTCCTAATGACCAAGATTGATTACCGGTTAATGATAATCGGCCACCATTTGCAATTCACAACACGGTGGTCGATATCACTTAACCCTTAAAGTTGGTTCTAAGTGTCCACCATGGGCTACCCACCGAACCATGCACTGAGCCTAATCATTCATCTAGCAAACACATGCATGAGCGATGGATTAAACATACACTTAGGCCAAATGACCTTATTTCTCAATCAATCATTCAAAGAGAAGTGAGCCTATTGAGGATTACTCATTCAATTTAAAGTACAAATTCAAGTCTTGCACACATGTTCTCAAACGGTTGTTGTTGCTGTTGCTGTATGTGAACTACTCCATGATCCTCTTTTCTCATAACGATGGTCATCCCACGATCTTGCTTTCAAGCGATAACTGCTCCCTCCAACATGTGCGCCCTTGACCACAATTGTCTTGCTGATTTTAAATTTCAAATTATTGGTCGTCGATGCTCACATCAGTGGTTACCGACTATCCATCATTCTTATTTCGATAATTGGATACGTGGCATTGATGAATACCAATGTCGATTACCATATGTCAATTTATGTGTTTGTTGATAAGCCGACGTATGGGCAATGACACTCATGTGCCATGCACGTGTTTGTTCTCACTCACGCGCTAGGCATGTGCTTATCGATGACTGGATTATTTTTGTGTCAACATATTGATTTCCCTTTTCAGTTTCTTAAGCTCGGTTGCTCATGCACCATAATTTTGCTTGAGCCAGACTGCTACCTTGCAATTCTATTACACAACACTTTTAAGTGATAAATGTTACCTATAATAAGATTAGTTTATAAAGTTATCATGCAGATGATGTAATACTGCAAATAGAGGAATCCAGCAAAGGAATTATATCCGATACCCATCAACAGTTTGCTGCATTACTAAAATTATCGATTTCTTATATTAATTTTAGCATTTTTAGTATTATCTTTCAAATTTTACGACATACAATATAACCTCAATCTTCATTTTTGTTTCGTAATAATCGTTGCATAAGTTGTCTTATAGTAAACTTACCAAGAAAGAATTTGTGGTGTAGTTTCTTAAATGAGTTCGTACATTTCAGTCAACTTAAACATATTTTTATGCGGTTATTTGACTTTTATATAGGAGACTTGTGATTGATTCACATACTTGCTCATGCGACAAATTATTTTTATGACAACACGTAATATCTAAATAATATAAGGGATAAGTGCAGTAAAAGTTCTAAAATTTATCGCAAAAAAGCAATTGAGTCCTAAAACTTTCAAAAGTGCAATTAAGTCCTAAAACTTATGGCAAAATGCAATTGAGTTCTAAAACTTCAAAAGTGCAATCAAATCCTAAAACTTGTCAAATTGGTCAAATTAAGTCCTTTCGTTGATTGCATTTTTTGAAAATTTTAGGACTTAATTACACTTTCGTGATAAGTTTTAGGACTCAATTGTATTTTCGTGACAAGTTTTAGGACTTGATTGCACTTTTTGAAATTTTTAGAATTCGATTGAACTTTCGTTATAAATTTTAGGACTTCTAGTGCACCTATCCCATAATAATAAATGATTGGGTGACAGTGCGCATTTTGAAAATTTTAAAACTCGATTGTATTTTCGTGATAAGTTTTAGGACTTGATTGCATTTTTTTTAAGTTTTAGGATTCGATTGTACTTTCGTGATAAGTTTTAGAATTTCTAGTGCACTTATCCCATAATAATAAATGATTGGGTAACAGTTTATTCTGGACCATAAATAAACAAATAACAAATTATTATAAATTATTGCGGGGTCCATTCCTTTAAGAATTTGTGACTCACATCTTATTATTACTCTCAAAGTGACACAAAGACTGTTATGTTAGTAAAGCCTATATATTATAAGAGTTCTGTTTGCTCAAAATTTACCTAAAAGAGGCTTCTTCGAGGACAAGTCCCATTGTAGTTTGAATATGAAAAAGTCAATACTCAACTACAAAAGACTAGGGGTGTCAACGGGTCGGGTTGGGGCGGGCTTTCATAATACCCAACCGGACCCGAAACACTACACATGTGTGCTTGACCCGGACTGACCCGACCTGAACAAAAACATAACCCCAACAATCTTATCGGGTCGGGTCGTGTTTGTCCGGGTCGGGTTCTTGTTTCATAAGCAAAAACGCAGCATTCATTTGATCAATCCACGCCATTTGCCATAACTTTGTCATTCAGTACAAGTAAGTTCAAAAGAATACAATTTTCTTTTGCCCAAGATCGAACTCTCGGGGAACAGTGTTATACCATTGTCGCCTCTTAGGAACTCACCGAAATTTGTGCCTCACCATTGATGGAAAGCCGAGCTGGACAAGAACAACACTAAAACTGCAGCAATGGCAACAATGGAAGACCATCGGCAAATTCTTGCTGCAAAACCCATCTTTTTGTAGTGGATCATCAGCAGCGAAACAAAAGCGAATACAAAGGTGAGCACGATGGACGGCATTTTTTTTTGTCAGAAAGATGGATGACGTTAGCGCTCTGAAGTTCGACGAGTCTCGCCTAAGGATCAACGTCGAAACAAGGGTAATTCTTCCGAGTGCTGAGAGCCAGAACCTTCTTAACCAAAGGATTCGACTCTTAACCCTCATTTTCATTTTGCTTCCATGGATCTGAAGACGTCGCTTCATCCCGGCTCCCAAAACGCCATAAGTAGTTCATCCCAAATCGATTCCCCATCATCATCGTGAAGCCTCGTCATGGGATTCATCGTGACGGTCACCTTTGCGGTCGGCAATTCAAAGACGCCTTTGGCCTACCGGAGGACCGTGCGAGCGAGAGGAGGAAAGGAGACCACAATTCTAATTGTGTTCTCACCGATGGAAGAAGAAGGCGCACTACGTTCGTCCTTCTACTGTACGGCGGTTGAGGGTAGGGTTTAATATTGTTATTGTTTCTGTGTTTGGGCTCGGGTATAAAACGAGCCCAACAGATCCATAACAATAATACCCAATCTTTTTTAACTGTTACCCGAAACAAACTAAGGCTCAACCCCGAAAAGGCCGAAAATTTTCGGGTCGGGCCAGGTTGTTTTCTTTTGACAGCCCTACAAAAGACAAGTCACGGTACATTGGCCCAAAAAGTATTGTAAATTTGGGAAGGAAAATCTCTTTCCACGGAGAAAATATCATTCTCAAGATCATGTAGATCAAACTAATCTTCCCCGCTGATTAAATGAGTCAAACCCATCTCCATGATATCACTTCTTTAGCAACAGCACTCTTAACTAAATATTTGAAAGGCCACTTCACATTCGCTATCTTTGCCCTTCCGGATCTCTCTATATGAGTACCTCTAATTTTTCATTTGAAGCTCTTTCAGATTCTGAATAAACCTATCGATGTAGCCGCTGATGAAGTTTGGGCTCACCAAAACCTCCCTCCACTTCGCATGGTTCTTCTTCACCAGCCGACCCACTTCGCTCTTCTCGTCCATCACGCTCTTGATGGCTCTGCACAAGCTCTCCTTCGAGAACCACCCGCTCTCTTCTCTCTCCACTTCGACCCCCACTTTCAGTTCCTCGGCCACCAGCCTCGTGTTCAAGATCTGGTCGCCCAGATGGGGGACCATCACTATTTGGCAATCACACATCAGCGACTCCCACATCGACCCGAACCCGCAGTGGCTCACGAAGCACCCGACCGATGGGTGACTCAAGATCGGTGGCTGTTGGACCCAACCGCCGTGAACCACTCCTCTCCCTTGGACTCTCTCTTCGAAACCCTCGGGAAAAGCTTCTTCTACTGAGTTCGTCCCAATTGGTGGTCTGAGAGCTACCAGAAATGGCAAGCCTGTTGACTCGAACCCTAGCAGGAGTTCTTGGAACTGGTCCTTTTCGAGAACGTGCTGGCTCCCAAACGCACAGAACACCACGGACCCTGGCTCGAACCGGCCGAGCCACTCGGCCCACTTCTCGTGCAGCTTCTTCCTCGCCGGCTCAGGCAAGACCGGGCCAGTCAAGAAGACAGGCTTACCGTATTGACTGCTGATGTAATCACACAAGTCCCCTTCTATTTCTTGGCACGTACGCATGGCGATCGCGTCGCACTCTCGCATGGCGGTCGTGGTGCGCCCGTGGAACGTCATGTTGTCGCCGAAAGGCAGGGTTACGAATGCGAGGGATCGGGCTTCGCTGCCACGCAGCACGACAGTCTTTGATGGGTACCCTTCGGGTGGCTTCGCCAGCTCTTCCTCCGTGAGGGGTTTCCCGAGGGTCACCTCCCGCGCCGGCACGAGGACGATGGCAATCGCGGCCGCGGAAACAACATTGTAGCAGACTGTCCTGATGCCGAGCGGTCTGGCCACTTGGGGGATCCAGTAGGCATTGTCGTAGAAGATGAAGTCGGGCCGCAGGGCCTGCAGCGAGACCTCTAACTGGGGGCAGGTAAGGTCCATGGCAACGGCGAGCGAGGGATTGTCGGAGAGGGGGATGTCGGAGGCAGTTTCAGTCCCCGGAGGGAGGGTGGCGACTGAGGGGACGGTGACCGGGTGGAAGGTGATGAGGTCGGGGTGTAGATTGAGGTTTTCCAAGAGAATTATGGCTTTCCTGGGCAAGAAGAAGGAGATCTTGTGGCCCCTCTCGGCGAGCTCGTTGGAGAGGTGGAGGAACGGGGTCATGTGACCAACTGCGAACCATGGAAACATGGCTACGTGAAACTTGGAATTCGTCTCCTCCGACATTGCCATCAGTAATTCTTCTTGATTTTTTTTCCCTTTACGTGCATCAACACATTGGCCGTTTTAGTTCTTAGATCCCTGGACTTCAAGATTCGTGTGCTGGATCGACCTTTTCGCGAAGAATGGGATTGTCGTGGTCGGATGTAACGGATTGATGATGAGCAACTCCTGGTCTATATCTGACGAACGTGAAAGCCGGACGAGACAGGAATGTTTGACCCTGACTTTGAGATGCCTCGTGTTTTTCGCTTTACAAGGAGTGAAAAAAGCCACGAGAGAGATCATTCTGGAGGAGAATGGTGGAGAAAATATTAGGATTAAGTGACTGGAATACTCCACGTAGGCCATCCAATAAACCATTCCGCGGACGACATGTGGATAGTCGGTCCCACAAGTAAGAAAATTTGAAAAAATCTGCGATTTTCCCTTCTCTCTCCGCGTTTGTCTCCCTTAACATCCGTTACTCTCCCTCCTCACGCCTCCACACCTGCGCACATTTGTTTCAACGAGGATATCATAGGTTAAGAAAAACATAAATCCGTTGTGTATTTACGCATGGGAAACTTTGTTTATATATACCAACATACTTCCTCTAACAACATGGACTTAACTTGAGATATCGTCATCAGTTATGCACTGAATTTAGAACGTCGAAGGAGTAGTGTTGCGCAACAGTATGATAATATTACGGCATGATTTTTGATACACGGTTGTATTCTTTTTTACATGCCAACCGGTGTCGATCATCATTGACATGGATAATTGGTCAATTTTTTAAACTATGACGAATGACGACGAAAGATGGATTGTGTAAAAACACGGAGTGCGCTGAATTATGTACTATACAATTCTTTATATTATTTTGCCGTTAAATTGTTATTATTCTGCTATTTGGAAGAACAAACATAGTCTATTGCCGTTAATTTCCGAGGGATGTACTCGACTAATAGGAGGGCCGGAACGGATCAAAGTCGGATGCCTAAGATGGATCCACTTCGACAGATTGGGCCTAAGAAAGACATAGATTTGTAGGTGCACTTGGGCCTACTAATGGGCAATGAGTCCTTATAGTTAACATCACCAGCTACAGCATTTGATAATTCCCACTAATACTTTTCAGTGCTGGTGAGCATTAAGAACAAAATAAACTCGTTGAAAGCTCCATGCACAAAGAGCAAAAGAGCAAACCTCCAAACCCTCTCTATCACTTTTCCTTGCCCAATATGCTGCTCGAGAACTTCAGGCACATCATCAGGGGTTACATAGCCATACCTACAATCAGATCATAAAGTCAACTCACATAATGCTATTTAAATCAATATTTCGTGGTTTCTACAGCTTGAGAAAGAACTTAGAGAAAGTTTAAACCAGGACTGACCAATGACCGGTGATTGTCCCCTCAGAATCTGGAGAGAAGACTATCAACCACTGTGGACTGAAGACCCGTTTCGCGACCCAGAACACAATAGCCAACCAGAATCTAGAATGCATTCGTTTCTCCTTCTTCAAGTTATTTAGCATTCTTAGCATATTTATTCTGATGTCACCCACAACAAACTCATTAGCTGGTAACTCTTGCTAGGCCAAGCCAATAGTTCCATTTCTTGTGACCAGTCCATGAGGCAGCATCACTTGAAAGACCACTATGTCCTTCCTTTATCACACATTATACTCCATATCGACCACCTTAAATTTACATATGAGTAATGTTTCTCCTACCCACTATCAATCCAGTTCTAGTAACTGGTAAGGCTAGGCCCTTCCAAAAATAAGATAACATCCGCGATGGAATATCATCCAACATATCAGACAACATTTTTTGTCAAGTAGCTTACCCGACATGAAGATCATAACACGAAAGATCAATTTGATCCAAGTTGGAGTCCTGATTGTTCACTCCATGCCTGTTGATAGCGCAAAGTATCATAGTTACAACTAAAGTTCATATTTCTGGAGTCTAACCTCCCAAAGTTGTGGTCACGATGTATTGCCACCACACCATCACGAGCAAATGATCCTAGGGAGAACCAAATATTACTGCTTAGCAGAGCTCTGTCATGTAAATGTTATGCCGCCTGAGTAATTTAGAACAATCCACTTCTCCCACTGATAATCATAGCGAAATCTGTACCCAAACTGCCCCAAATCGCTCTAAGTTCCCGTATACCTAATTTTAGACAGGAAAATGATAGAGCTGGGGAGGGGAGAATGCAAATGCATTTGATTTTTTATTTATTTTTGTTTTGTTTTTTCTTTCTTTAGCGACGAATTATTATTTTTGTCGCTAATCGGCGACGAATAGTTTTGCTATGAAATTAGCGACGATGCCAATTAGCGATGCCTAACCGGACCCAAGGCCCATGATTGACTCTTTTTTTTTTTTTGGGGGTCCTATAACTCATGCCTATCGTGCCACGGGATCCTTTCCCTTTTAATTTGTTCACTCGAACTTTTTGTTTTGTATGATTTGTGCAATCAAGCTTTATGAACATACTTAATCAAGCTAGGATGATATGGCAAGTTTGAACATTTAGACAAAAAAAAAAAAGGAATTGAATGGAGAAGTTTAAAAATCAGAAAAAATTAAGAGAAATTTAGGAAAAAACAAGAAAAAAAATGAAAGAGAAAGAGAGAGAGGAGCGAGTTTTAGGCAGGGAAAAGAGGGGGTGGCTGACCGAGTTTTAGGCAGGGAAAAGAGGCGGTGGCGGCAGCCACCCCCGACGGCGATCTGCACCACCACCATTGCCAAGCCCCAGCAAGCCCTAGCCAAGGTCACACAGCCCAAGCAAAGGTCTCCGACGGCCGAAGCTCGCGAGTCACCTGGATTTCGTAGCTTGAAGAGGCCATTGAGCAAATAGAAATGTAGTGAAAAATGAAATGCCAAAGAGATTTACTAATCCGTGCCCCCCCTGCGTCTTTGCCATAACTTGTTCTAGGCAAGATTTGGCTGCGCGAGCACTTGTTTGGGTCATGTGACCTAGGCGAGGGCTTGTCGGGATTTGAGCTAGGTCGGTGGTGCAGGTCGTTGCAAGTGGTGGCTCCACTTGTCCCCTCCTTCTAATTCGTTGACATGAGCAATGTGTCGCGTAAGACAGCCATCGATGATTAGGCCGCCACATCGGCTATTATCGGCAAGAATCGGTCATAAGGATAACACTAGGATTTCGCGCAAAGGTTTAGAGATAAATTGGCAAAATCGAAAAGTTTAAAACTGAATCGACATTCTTATAATTAAATTTACGATCGATTGGACAATTTCGGTTTGGGATACAGAAATTCTACATGAAATTCCATGAATTATTACAGTATACACATGATGGGAAATGCACCCAGCACGAAGCATCAAAGCAGTTGGGGGGGACGGGGGGGCCGCGAGTTTGGTTGATGGAACCCGTGGGCTCCCCCCAATCAGGCCACGATCCCCGCTATTCATCCACGAGTCTCCTGCACCCCCTATAATTGAAATAGAATATGATCTTCAGATTACCAATAAACTAAGCTGGCTTAGGAAGATGAAGATGAACTAATACTCATAATCTATACAAGCTACTCCTGCCGTAAAGGACAAAAACCAACGCCAACCCAACCCAACCCAACCCCTCCATCCCACTCCATATTTCCCCCCTCATTAAAAATTAAATTTGTGATCGGCACAAACTTAGCTGTCACATGCTTGTACCTACACACCCCATCCAGAACCCATAGAATCAAAAAATCATCTCCCGTTCCTTAGCGAACAAAAAGAGGCCGTCACATGGGGCAGTGGGGCTGGCGTCCCCTTGCCTTGCGCCAATCTGCAACACGACCCCATTCCAATTTTTTCGCCCCACATTGAATATCCGACGCGACCCCACCCTCCCGAAACTCTTTCTCCGTCGCTATTCATCCTCAATTTGCCTTTCCATATCCATGTCTTTCTTTGATTATTTAAACGTACGCGTATGTGTCTATAATCGTGTTTCTAGTACAGAGCACATGGCGCGACTTCCTTGGTCAGCCCCATCTGTAAAGTTTTTAATGCTCACGAGATTAGTGCTTTTAGCCATGAGACGTGGCAGATCTGAGGACTCGGCAGATGGATGAGGAGGCTCCTTCTTCGGAGGGTTGCTTGGTTGATGGGGAAGCGGTGGATTTATTGGAGGAGTATTGGTTCTTCGGCAACCTGCTCCATAGGAGGAACAACAACAAGAGCGCCGTCATGTCCAGATGCTTCGCTGATCCTTGCCCTTCGGTCGGTGATCGCGCCCGCGAGACGTTAGCCGGGAACCGGCAGTCGGAAGACTCGAGTCCTCCTTCGCCGAGGAAGATGGAGTTGGAAGGCATTGCTGTAGGCGATTCCTTTCAGGCTCCGTCGGTCCTGTGCGAAGAAGCGGAGCAAGTGCATGTCGATGATGGGACTCCTGAAGAAGTGCGGGTCTCAGCTGAGTTGCCACCTTCAAGCAAGAAGGCAGTCGAGAACTGGCAGCCGAACAACTCGAGTTCTCCTTTGCAGAGGAAGATGAATTCAGAAGGCATTGGTCATGTTCGAGCCGATTCCTTTCGGGCTCCATCGGTCTCGTGCGAAGAAGCGAGAGAAGAAGCGGAACAGGTGCAGGTCGATGATGGGACTCCTGAAGATGTGCGGGCCTCAGCCGAGTTGCCGCCTTCAAGCAAGAAAGGAGTTCAAGAGGGGAAATGTGGTCTGAAGGAAGGCGGGATGGACAAGCACAAGCAGTCACCGCGCCCTGTTCTTCTCAGGGCGCCGTCTCTACCGCCTTGTATAGGAAGAGAAAAGGGATTCGAAGGAAGAGAGAATTTTCCTAGGATGACCAAACCGAGTAGGCAAGCCTCTCTTAACTTATCCGAGTTCTTGCCGCCGCGGCACACTCCGAAGGTACTAATCGAACATCATTCAGGACTAAAAGCTAGGATAGTTAGTTGCATAATCAGATAGAGCCCTTTGTGTCTTTCTTGGATCGGTAGATCAAGAGAACGCTTGGTTTGCAGGGAATGACGCAGAGTGCGAGCATGTCGAAATACCGATCGCCGAAATCTACAGATGCTGAAAAAAGTGCCATAGCTTTTAACAAGGAGATGAGGCGAAGGTACCTAACCAAGAGCAACTCAAGGAAGAGCCTGAGTGATCTCGAAGATGAAGAAGTGCAAGGCTTCAAGGAATTGGGTTTTTCATTTGACGAGAAGCACTTGGATCCGAATCTCGTCAACATACTTCCCGGTTTGCAAGGGAAGACCCAGGAGAATGAGGATGGCAACGGGGATGAAGGGCCTTATCTTTCTGAAGAGTGGCTCGCACAAAGCTATGCTCCTGCATTCCCAAAGTGGAACGCCAAGGGTGGTTCGCCGGAAGATATGAAAGCTCAGATCAAGTATTGGGCCAGAGTTGTGGCGTCGAACATGCGTCAAGAATGCTGAAACTGAATACACAAATTAGCTGCTAATTCGATACTAATGTGATCGTGATGAAGATTCAGATTGATTATTTGTTTTCCCCCGTTAATATTACTAATTCCTAGGACCTTTTATTCTTTAAAAGGTCGTGATTCTTCATTGATTAGCTATTCCTAATAAAAACTTTACAGCGTATACATGAGGATTCACTCAAAGTCAGTTACTTTTGGCTGCTCTATTCTGGATAATGGGAATGATCGATGTTTGTATTCTGGTAAGAAGCTCTTCAACCCTGGTCAACTCTGTTCGCATCCTTCCTCTGGCAAATCCAGCGAACGAAATTCATTAGCAAAAACCGAATCGTCCGTACTTCTGTAGATATTAGCACATATGCAACTAGCATCATCAGGTTTTACCACCCACTTGCCTTCACGAGTTTTCTCACCATCATCAGTTTTTCCAACGAGCAAAGCGTTTTCAAACGTGACCGGTACTGCATACATGCAATGGTTTGATAAAAGAAGCAAATTGGTTTTAAGTTGGCCTCGCTATCAATTCAACTTGAGTTGCACTTGCACTAACTTATGGCCCATATATGATTGTTCCAAATTTGTAATGGTTGTATCTCTATTTCTGCAGTACACTGGCAAAAGCAAATAATATATGCTCGTCTGAGGTACTAGGACTCATGCATTGAAGATAAAATCGAAGTCTTATTGATCAATCCAGGCCAGACTATCCTATTGCCCACCCATCAGAGTAATGAGGATAGGCGCAATCATTGCAAACATAGAATATACGAAATTCCCTAAAGTCAGACGTTGTAATCCCTCAGATATAACAATAGAGATCCAGCACCAGATCTGTGTACTTTTGTGGCTTCAACTCTTTCCCAAATCTCAAGATGTCATTGAGGATTTCCCCGCTCTTTTCTTGGTTGCCGGTCACCTAAACTTTTGTGGTACGATGTTGTCTATGGCATTTCAAGCTGTGACTTCATCAGGCACCCTTTTGCCAACATGAGCATGGCATTAACCGGTTGAAGCAGAACCTGTGCCTTTTGCTCCTTGTACATTCTCGGGATGTTCAACTCCTCTCATGATGTCAGATACACCGTGGCCCATTTTGCTAAGGAGGTTAAGATCCTTTTTAGGCTGAAAGTTGTGCAAAGCGGTTGAATTTGTATCAAGATTGTGCAAAACCACCACCATAGTGACCGAGCATATGAGCATCGGTATTGGACCAAAAATCCATAGCAGCAGATTGATAGCAAAGTAGATCGCCCGTAAACCGACTGACCAGAAAATACTCGCTGTTATGACTGCCTTCTGAACATAGGCCACTGGAATATCACTGTTTGGCATGCTCATGAGGAAAATGGCGTGGACTGAACTCCTCACACATTGTAGAAAGGACCCGAAAGCCACTAGAAAGCAACTGAGGAGGCTTATGTACTTGACGGAAATCATGGAAGGACTCGTATCCCCATAAATGAAATCGGCCGTGAAAACACTATGTGAGGAGCTTCCAATCCATGCTCCAATAAGAGAGCTCAGAGCCAAGGAGGTTGATGCCAGGAAAGTTGCTGCTGATAATGTGGTGGAGATCACTGTCAAGGACATTCCTCTTTCCTTTGCCTCAATCTGCAAATTCAAACAAAAAAATTTCTGAGATAATCCAGTTCAAATACAGCTGGAGACACACAAATTTTCTGTCCAGAAATAGAGGCATTAGAAGTTTTTGCTTTTCTTGACCTGCAGCATTCGCTCAACCCACACTTTCCTGCAATGGTTTTCATATCCAATTACTGTAGTTTGAGGGAACTTTAGGCATCTGTACAACAGGAAAAGATGGTAACCAGACATGATTAATAGTCCAATAGGAACCAGTATAACATCTAGGCACTCCTTTCTCCAACTCATCTCTCTCTCTCTGAGAGTGTGTGGATGAAGGTGTCACTTACTAACGGTGTAGAAGAAGATGGGTTGATTAACACTGCAAAATAGAATAAATATGGTGGACAAACTCATGACGTCATGTGACTCACAAAATAAAAGCGAGTGTTTAGTGGATCTGGTCATGTATGACAACAATGACAGATACCTGTATGCATTTGTTTTATTAATCAAAAGAACAATCTTTTCAAAAGTTTGAATTTTGATTATGTCCTGATATTCATGGGTTCTACAGTTGGATGGTTGTTATTCCTTCGTTTGCGATTAACTAATGAACCTTCGGGTATGGTGATGATGCAAGTTTGGTTACTTTTCTTAACAACACTTTCCTCATGCAAGAGAGATAAAATATAAGCAGAACCTTTCTGAAAACCCTGTACTGCAGTAGGCAATTGGCGTAATTCATTGAAGAGTTTTGGTATTGCTTTTTGCTTGGCCCAGCTTTTCTTTGAATTGACACTTACAATGGAAAACTGTTTACAGCAGCATCTACCAATATTAGAATCGGCATAAAGGCAGGAGCTCTTATGCTAGTACTCTAAATCTAGATTAGAATCTGATCCTCTATTATTGCCGGTGGATTAGAACATGAAGTGTTTGATGTTTTACTGATGGAACCATAGATATCCTGTTATACAGGAAAACCATCTTTAGGCACTGTTTTTGGTAAGCACACTTCTTTTGCAGGTTCAGTATCAAAATAAGCTTACTAGTTCCCAGCGAAGACTCTCCCTCGTATTAGAATCAACAAAAGAAGAGATAAGAACCCATCCAGATGTTAGGGCCATTATTTTCCCAAAATATGAAGCTGTTAACAAATAAGGTTGGAACCCATAGCTGGGAGAGTAGACAAGACAGGAAATCATTTACGTCAGACGTCTAAGCTATGAGTAAAGCGAGACTAGTACATTAAGCATTCATTAGAAAACTTAGTTAACTGACAAAATGGGTAATGATCTATAGTTCCTGAAACCATATTTGATGAAGATGTCTTGCCCTATAGCCATGTGACAGAAACTTGATCACAGTGATTCTTCGTCTGCTTAAAAGTATCACATGATGTTGGATTGTTGCCGTCGTTTACAAGTAGTTCTGCTCTTAATGAGACTCTATCGTCCACAGCTTTTACAAAGAAATTCTGCTAGATCCAGAAATCTTGAATAGTTAGAATTTGGCAAGGAAAATTCATCTCTTGGAATTGAATTTTCTCCGTGGCTATCAATCATGGCGTCAAAACAAATAGTAGAGGACTGACAATTTCTTGCTCATAGACAGAACAAGTGGCTTGTTTTTAGCTTCATAATACATAAACAATCAGAAGACTGGAAGGTGCATATGGATGCAGCAGATGAATTTGAAAATGGAAAGTAAAATAAAGCCACAAACTATTACAACTTGCTACCAAGAAAAACTAGAGGACAAAACGTGAATCATTTCAACATCTTGTCGACTCAAAAAACTTTTCCATCCCAAAAATGTCTCCGCCGGATGATTTAGGGGATCCTAGAGAACATTGCCATGCATCTAAAATTCCTTTGAGATTCAAACTTCTACAAAGCTCTAAGGCCCTTTTATTAGAGGAGACAAGCTGGCTGAAATTGATGTAGCGGTGTGGAGTTGGTATCGAGGAAGTGCAACATCATGACCATGGTTATTGAGGAAACAAACATAGGTATTGGACCGAAGATCCACAACAGCAAAGTGGTTGCAAAGTAGATTGCACGAAGACCGAGGGACCAGAACACGCCTCCCATTATCACTTCCCTCTGCACGTACTTCACTGGAACATCGCTATTTGGCATGCTGATCAGGAAATTGGAATGGACCAGGCACCGTACGCATTGGACAAATGATGCAAAGGCGAGCAGGAAGCATATCAGAAGACTGATGTACTTGATGGAAATAATAGTAGGCCTTGTGTCGCCATATATGAAAGGACTAGTCAAGATGCTATTTGAAGAGCTCGCGAACCACGCACCAATTAGTGAGCTTAGAGCCAGGGAAATTGATGCCAGAGAAGTCGAAGCTGTTATGGTGCTCGAGATCACGGACAAAGGAATATCTCTGTTCTTTGCCTCAGTCTGCACATAAAAATTAAACTTATGAACGCGAATCAGAATCAAGCACATGATTGATAGATCAAAGGAGGTATGAAGTTTGGTGGCATTTTGTACCTGCAACATTCTCTCTACCCAAGCTAGTCTATAGTGGTTCTCATAGCCAATCACAGTGGTCTGTGGACATCTTAGGCACCTGTAGAGAAGGAAGAGATGGTAGCCAAGCATAATAGATAACCCACAAGGAACCAAGATTAGGTCCAAGTGTTCCTTCCTCCAAACCATCTCTCTCTTCTAATTAGACTCGAAGGGAGGTGATCTCAATCAACCCAAGAATTGCTGGCTCAAATCTTGAATTGCCCACTTAAGGTAAAATGTAACTCCACTGGTTCCTGTCAATTCATTGTGCCACCTACAATGAAACTTATGCATACCTACACACGTCATATGAGAGAACAATTTAACAGGTTAGTTTTTCTTATCTCATGTTTTAATACGGCAGCACTTAGGGGGCTACTAAAGTGACGTCCTTTGGGAGTGTGTGTGACCACCCTCTAAACATTTACTATTCTTAATCCGAAAACGACCATGATGAAGTAAAAGGCAAAATAAAATTCGCAGAAAAAAACATTAATTATGTGGGAACATGATTATCCTGGCATCTCAGCAGTCCCGTGATACCTCGCACATATATTCATCGCTTTCCATCACAAAGTTAATTGTATTGCTATGCATGGTCCAAATCAACGTAAAAAAGCATGGGTTGACGGAAACTAAACTTTTCTCCAGATGATAAAGCAATTTCAGTTGCGCCGTTGTGTGCAAATCAAGAGAAAATTCATTTTCCATTGTCGATACTTGATAGCATAACAACAACCAGCACCAAACTGGTCTCTTTTTGTGAATTATTACTTTATTTTATTTTTGCTTTTTGTGAATTTGATTAGGCAAGGAAGTGGCAATCAGGCACATAAACTGAAAATAGTCTTCCGTGTCGCGACTTATAGTGGTTCATTCAGACTACAAACATCAGAAAGGTCGTCTGGTCCTTTTTCCCTCCAAACAAGGGCACATCTGAGTTTTAGAAGTGAAGAATGAATTATGCTTGCCTTACTTTGGATGCTAAAGCAAATTTGACAATGACCCTGCACCAGGAGAGTTCTGGAAAAAAGAACTGGTGCTTTACCTAACACAGGATGACCTTTATTATTTGTTTTTGGCCGAAAGCATGATCTTCATTAAAAATGGAACAAAAGTGATCATGGCATTGCCACTGATCCTGATAATAAATTCTTAAAAAGTGAAAACCGCTAACTAATGATTCTACGCTCCTCTTCAGCTTTAAAAAGACTGACAGTGGAGCAGTATTTTAAGAAGATATGGTTCTGCTAAATAACGAAATCGATGCTTTGGCTAGACTCTGACTTTGCTGGAGCTGCATCTTCAGAAGTAGAGGATGCTGATGGAGGTCTCTGGTGTGAGAAAATAGCTTTGAATGGTCAAGCTACCGACATTGAAGTGAATCGATGGCTTTTCAATTAACTGACGGTGCTTTCACGTGATTTAATCAACTGGACATGCTTAAATTTAAGACATTATCAATTCAGACTGCTTTGCCACATCTGATGCACAAGAAGGTTTCCTTTGCAACTCACCCCGTGTTTGAATAGCAAGGTGCAATATAATCGTACATTTCTGAATCTGTCGACAATTTTCCGTTACATTTGGTAGACTGAACATGATCGACCGATGCCAAAATCATAATCTTTAAGAAAACAAAATACACGGCTGCTTCATGGAAGCTTCAACCTTTTGTAGGGCAAATGCAGATCCCCTATCATCTTTTCCAATTCAAACTCGTAGCATTCGTTTGAATACATTCCTCTTTCAGGCGTCCACGAGGCTTGATCTGCAGCATCTAGCATATTGACACTCGAGGAAATGTCCGGAAAATGAGTTTACCTGTAGTTTAGTCAACTTTCAAAGCACCATTGTCGACAGGCTTCCTTTTTGGCTTGCGTTTCTTCTGCTTTTGTTTGAACCTGATTTGATCTTTGACGCTTTTCTCCCACTTTTTCTTGTTTCTTATATACAACAACATTGCAGCACGCGCATCCTCTATCTGAAACCATAAACAACAAAGATATTAGCTCTGTTACGGGGAATGTGAAAAAGAATCATCAGAAATAATCACTGTGATTAGGATAAAGGAGGATTCGATAAATAAATGAAAGGGAAAATAAATTGCATTGAGATATTTCCAGGTAATGACTGAAGCAATATAGAAATGCTGCAACAATATGTGGTCATAGGAATGGACTATCAATGGAAAAAAGGAGAGTACAGTCGGGACAAAGTCAATCTAATTACAGGGCAGTGTTCTCCATTTTGGATAGAAGCCCCAAGAAGCTCGGCTGCAAGATGACGAAGCGCCTTTCGGTGCCCTTCCCTGCATCATTGATTTGCACGTCACTAAGGAAACCAAAATAGGTCAATTAAAATGCATGAGGGCGATAGCAAGCAAGAGTAAAATTCAGTACTTCTGAAGGGGTAGATATTCGGAGGTGTCTCTTATGTCCGTCTTAGGATGAGTCAACAGTAATGCCTGGTATAAAGAAAACATAGTCCAGATCAGAATCACACGCCATTCAAACCCACCAGAATCAACAGTAATGCCTGGTATAAAGAAAACATAGTCCAGATCAGAATGACACGCCATTCATACCCACCAGAAACAATATCTTACATACCTTAAGGTCATTGTGCAATGCATGGCCTACAAGAACCCTCCCTTTAATCAATTCAGCAACTTTCTTCTGAACAGTACAGAAATCCTTGGCTGCAAATAAAATAAAGGGTTAATACCGCAAAAAACCCCAAATTGATATGTCTGTGACAGTTTTACCCCAAACTAATTTTTTAACTACAAAAACCCCCAAACTGGTACACCTGTGATAAATTTACCCTCAGTTTATTTCCGTTAAATTTTACTGTCAAATTGCTTTGTTAAATGACACGCGGCAATTGACAGATGTACCAATTTTATGTTTTACCCGCCGTTTGTCACAGGCGTACCATTTTATGATTTTTTGTAGTATTAGTTTAATTTAATGGAAACTAACGGAGGATAAATTTATCACAAATGTACCCGTTCGGGGTTTTTGGTGATCAAAAAATTAGTCTGGGGTAAATTTGTCACAAGTGTACCCGTTTGGGGTTTTTCGCAGTCAAAAAATTAGTTTGGGGTAAAATTGTCATAGGTTTACCAGTTTGGAGTTTTTTGTGGTATTAACCCAAAAATAAAAGAATGGAGTTCTTTAGATTTTCCGTGATTGTTGAGTCCTTTAATTTCATTCAATAGGCCTTGACCATGCAGCAGGATGAACAAAAATGATAGCATAAAAAAACAGCACAAAAGTAATGACATCCAAAAGAAATCTCCACCAAGGATACCCGGTAATGTTCAAATCATAATGCAGTTTACAAGATCACCCTCATTACTTGAAATTTTTCAAAAGCACTTATAAAAAAATTGACTACTGGAGCTATTCTGCTAACTCTAACATTTGGTTCGAGCTTAACAGAAGACTTTATTCAATACCAGATGGAAAATTCAAATATTCCCCACAAAGACTCAAAACATTGGATAAGGGCATCATATGCACTATTTTAACCAGTTTTACTAACTGCACAATCAAGGATAGGAATAGGATAAAGAACATGGAAAAAATGAAGAGAAGATGAGACAAACCTTTTCGCATATCACTGGGTCGAATTCCACTGACTTGTGTACGATAGTCAACAACACGATCAATTGGGCGAACAAATTCATCGTATACAACATTTCCCCATTTATTTACCTGTCATTAGCTCTAATAGCAAGTTATGAACAAGTTGAATAAGCATAATACTTTTTCTCATGTAAACAATTGGTTTTTTCCCAAGACAGAGATATTGTGAAGCACATAAAATTAATAGTAAAAGACCGCATGAAGCATGTTCAAGAAAATTTAGCGCTGTCAATCAACACTCCAACGAATTGTGGTAAATACTTCAGTGAATGGTATGTAGTACCTTTAATTAGGAACAGTCCAGGATATCGAGGAGTCAGGAATGCCTTAAACAAATTCTTATACTAATGCTTATTACTCGATGGAAGACACGGTTATCCCTCCTAACTCACAAAGGCCCAAATAAGAGTCATGCACATTCTCCAAGACTGCAAGTCTTGCTCATACTCTCCATCTGTTGAACAAGTCAAAGTCATCTCCACCAGAATCGGTTCAACGAGAAACTTCTGGCTCCTCTCCATATCTATAACTCTTTATCGATAACTCATTCAATTTTATTCAAACTTCAACTGAATTTTGTTATACAGATTCTCTACAAGTGGATATAAACCCATCATCTCTTTGTAAATCCTTAACGAGAGAAATCAATACAAAGCATTAATTTAAAATCTCTGTTTCCGTTCTCTGCTTTATCTATCTCTCTTTTACTGTTCGTAGTTTTAAGTTCTCCTTTATTCCTTTGTACTTCGGATCTTTCTTTCTCTAAAGGTCCTAATTTTCTCACTCCATCCCTATTTCCACTCTCCAGAGACCAAGTGGAAAGCATGAAGGTGGGGGATCCAGGAACCATCTGGAAGTTGGAACAGCAAGGTGGACAAACAGCTAAAGTCCATGCAATGTATACATGCAAAAGTAGTGGATTTAGTTTGAACCAGATTCTTTCCCATTAGCACGATTCCATTGAAAGTAAAAACAATACATCAAAGTTACTACCAACTACCATCTCAACTTTGTCACCGGACTCTCACAAAATCTACAATAAACAGAAATATGATAAAGTTGCAAAGGCATTAGGATAGCCTTAGAATATCCAGAAATTCTAAGAGATGGAAAGTATCTGACACTCGTCACCAATATACAGTAATATTATAAGCACATGAGATATCACCTACGATCTCTTCAAGAAAAATGAGAACACAGTAAGTAAGAATGTTCGTATCCCACTAATCACTAAAAAGAAAAAAGAACGTTCACATACCAGTGTAACTCGCCCAAGTGCACTCTTATTTCCTTGAGCGACACCAACCATTTCGCAATCCATGGCAATCGCATCCGTCATTCTGCGTATGATTCACTTACGGAATTATGAATAGCACAACAAATGACCATGGAGGAATTATGCCACCCACAAGAAAGTAAACTACTAATGCCTAAAAGCTGCACTATTAAACATAAAAGGGGCCAAGGTTAATGTCTTCTATTGAACCCCAAACATGACTTTATTCCCCCAGAGTTGCTCATGATAAACACAGGAACCATCCAGAGAAATACTTAATATTCAGCAAGTAGTTCAGATGGTTAAAGGCAGCAATGAACAGGAAACAAAAGAAACAAACCCGAAATCACTATTGGCGGGAGTCAAGGGATTAGGGCGAGGATCATCAGATTCCGCATCGGACCTTTCCTTGCGTTTCCCTGCACATGGAAAAAGCCCCCCAAAGCCGGATCATATAACAGTATGCAAATTCAGATGACCCTTCTTTCTCCAAAGCAACTAAGACAACAGTGAGTCAAAACACATCAAACGCAGGAAGACAAGTTTAATGCGTGAGAGGCTCATGGCTCGAAAACAAGCACGCGTACGCGTTACTACCTGGAAAACCCGTGAAAATACGACGCAACACCCAACAAGAGTATGGCAAAAGGGCCAAAAGGGTAGGACTTGGGAGTACCCAATATGGATTTGGAGAGTCCGGAGTCGGAAAGGTCGGAACTTTTTGGAGGTCGGGAGCCATGGGACTTGAGCTTCTGCACAATCAAGAAGACGAGTGAGATGACAAACATGCATTCGCGCACGCTGAAACACATACGCAGTCACGCACGTACACAGAAAGAGAAAGAGAGAGAGAAGTACTTGTTGCAGCTGAGCCCAGTTGGGATTGAGCTGCTGGGAGTTCTTGTGCTGCTTCATCGTTGGCTCGCACTCTTCGTCGCCGACTCCGAAACGTTGAATAGGTTGGTGAGCCAGGAACGTCTTTGGTGCGCGCTTCTCGCGACAAGAGGCGCCCGCGCGATGTCGTTTTTGCCTTTGCCCTTTTCCTTTTCCTTCTTCTTTTTTCCGGTGAAAGCCCGCTCGTTCAGCCCATGATCACCAGCGCACCCGGCCCAGATGGTCCGACGGGTCAATCCAATCTTTTCTTTATCCACCAGCGGTCTAACTACAAAGTTTTTGTCTAAAGAGCTAGCTAACCAAACCACCAACAATTCCTCATTTGTATTACGGTAAGTATGAAAATAGACATCGAAATCGAGGGTACATGAAAAATTCATGAAATTTGGCTAAGGAACTCGGGTTTTTCTTTTTTCTTTTCTATTTGGTCGGAATAAAAACATTTTCATTACTTCAAATAACATGCGGCTTTTGAGCATACGGGGTTTTATAAAGCTAAAGGAGAATTAAGAACCCAATTAACGATTCAATCCGCGACTTGGTTAGGTTCTTTGGGCAGTGGGCTACTACTATATCTCGAGAGTACCATTATAGGTTATTTCAAATTATTTGTGGTTTGTGCACTCTCGAGTTACTTCATGAGAGTACCATAAGACTTCTTTGGAACAGTCCACAGCAGATGCCATTATATGTATTTGGGTTTCTGGAAAGCTAGCCAAGAAAGACAATTTGCATAAAATCTTGAGGAGAGTATAAAAAGTATATCTTATGTTGTTAGAATAAGCATTTGATGGCAGGTCAGCAGATGGTAAATTCCTCATCCGCCAAAACTGGCGTGTCACTTTCAATTTTCCCAGAAACTCACGCATTGTCTCGAGTCCATTCAATATTGCGTGGCTATAACTCAATTTCTCACAACAGAGCATCAAAGAAATATGCCACCAGGAACTAGAAAAGATCCCTTAACTCAACACCATAAAGCTCTATGCTCCTGCCTGAATTCTTCATTGAATACGAGAAGGTACTTCACGTTAAATGTAACCGACCAATTAAAAGTAAGAGCGAATCACAAATGGTACCGAGTAGAAGTAGATTCATAGCATGCAAACAAAAAAAGATCAGTCGGTTACCCATGTCATCACGATTACGTGGTGTTTCCTTCGTATAAAATACAATGCGAAATTATTCAAACACAAACTAATTGGTCAGACAAACGAGAAGATACGCTATCAGACATGGAATAATGCCCCTGGATTTAAATGAAATCATGTGCCTGTATTCTATTCTCCGTGCAAGTCACGTCTCATGATCTCAAATACAGAAACTAGGCTATCAGAATACAATTTTCGAGCTTGTCCGAATAATTTAGAGCAATCACAACCCAAGAGAAAAAAGAAGGGAAGAGCCAGAGAAAAGGAAAGAATTATACATGAGAAAGAGTACAACAAGTATAAAATAGAAAACTGAAAACCAAAGAGAGCTGAGAAACTAAAGCATCTTGACACACGAGACTACTGGAGAAAATTTGAGACTTGCCACATGTATTCTCGTAAAACCCGGGTTGCAGAATAAACGACGTATTTCATTTCCCTAAATGTTCGACGGGTAAATCCTCAAGCAGAGCAGCAACCAACCTTTTTAACTGCTGAGACGTCATCCTTTGATCCAACATTAATAGTCTGTCCTTTAGGAAGAGCTGCAGGGTCATTCCCAGCCTCAAGAGCTTTCCGACTGACTACTCGATATATTTGGGTGAGCACTTCAGTGAACGCATTCTCAACATTCATAGACTCGAGCGCAGAGGTCTCCATAAAGAAGGTATTTTCCTTTTCTGCAAATGCCGTCGCATCTTCAGTAGAAACAGCACATAAATGTCGCAAATCAGCCTTATTCCCCACAAGCATTATAACGATGTTAGAGTCTGTGTGATCCCGCAGCTCCTTCAACCATCTCTCCACATTCTCGAATGTGACATGACGAGTTACATCATAGACAAGCAATGCGCCAACAGCTCCTCGGTAATATGCACTAGTGATTGCTCGGTACCTGCGGCAAATTACGGACAAAACTAAGTAATTTATCAGGGTGGAATTCTGAACAAGCACAGAAAGCTTGGAATTCAGCCTATAACTTGGAAATGAAACATCGGGAAGTGGCTCACGCTGGATCTTCTGTTCAGATAAAGGCATACACCATTGTTCTGTTTCATTAGTTCCTATCAATGCATAACCTTCTAATAGCACTATTGCTTCTCTACGAAATTTATTAATCATTAAAAATAAATTTGACCTTGATTAAGTCAGCCCCTAGACTTTTGGTACATGTTCAATTTTGTCCTTAAATTGTATGAAAATGTTCAATATGCATCACAATCTTTTTTCTTATCTTCGTAAAAGTTTCTTATTTATAAATGCAGCACCTTCGCCTGGTATCTTGCTTTTCAGATAGTCAATGCGTGACACGATGATGTGTTCATTGCAGAAAATAAGAGGTCAGATCCGGAAGGAACTTTTATCGCCGATGACTTTTCTAACACAGGTATTATTTGCTGCATCCTGATTACTCTACGTGTTTCTTCCATTTGAAACTGTAGTGAACTATTAATCCAGATCTTCGCCCCAGGCAGCATTTGGTAAGTCTACAGACATTCATCCTACACCTCCAGGTCAACCTAGACAATCCAAAAAATGGCTGCCCCCCACCGTTAAAACCTCCAGCAATTCTGAAAAAACTTCCCCCACTTAAAATAGAAGATATGAAGAAATCGATTGATTTCAAAACCATGCAACGTGTCGCACACCAAGAAGTGAATTAGCAATTCAGTCCACTAAAGAATTGAGGCATGCTTCGGGATGAAAGAACACCTGGAACAACAAAATAACACACTTATCGAGCAAAACCAAAGTAGCAAGCAGGCACTCAAAATCAAAACGAATCCACATGAAAAGGGGAAACCATCCTATCTAACTTCAACTTCCATGGGTGAAAAAGCACAAATCATTTGTCTTTGCATTCATTAACTTCTCTTTCATCAGGATGCCTCGCCTCTACAAAGCTAGAACCCAAATTTGATTCTCCGACAAACACATAGCCTCTACAGCACCAAATCTACTCTTGTCCCAAATTAATTGGGAACTGACCACCAAGAACAGCTCTTTGCGAAACCAACTCACAATGAAATGTCCGGTTTTTGTCCGGATCGAGGAGATGAACTTAGTCTGGCGCGCGAAAAAGAATCATATGATACGCATGACTCCACCGCAACCTTAAAAGAAAAAGACTGCCTAAGCTCCACTTCACTTACACGATAGATACACCCGTCACACCTAAACGTCAGCATCAATCCAGATCTAAGATTCGCACTACAGCTCAAAGATCACCATTTTCCAGATTCGAATTCGACCAATCACACAACACGCAAAAAATTAACAGATCCAACACGACAAAGAAGAAAGGGGCAGAGACCGCTGCAACTCGCATCGGACGAACTCCAAAAGAAAAGAGAGATGCGAGGGACGCGGAATTTTCACCTCTCCTGGCCGGCGGTGTCCCAAATCTGGGCCTTCACGACCTTGTCGTCGACGCGGATGCTGCGAGTGGCGAACTCGACGCCGATCGTGGACTTGGACTCCAGGCTGAACTCGTTGCGGGTGAATCTGGACAGGAGGTTGGACTTGCCGACGCCGGAGTCCCCGATCAGCACCACCTTGAACAGGTAATCGTAATCGTCGTCCGCTCTGTACCCGCCCGCCATCCAAAGATCTTCTCAGCTCCTCCACCGGCTGGAGCTCCTCGGTTTTGCTCACGCTCGCGGCAAAAGCTCGAGATTCCGGCGAGCTCCGAGCGAGACGGATATGGGGAACGAGAACGAAATGGAGAATGTCATTGATGACGCGGTGACGGGTGCAGATGTAAATGAGTTCAGGTGTGTACGCGCACGGTCGGACCGGGTTGGGGAGCCCCCGCTGCTTCGTTCTTCGGGCGGGGCGGGGCTGGGGCTTCGACCCGAACCCGTCCGGCCTTGTCGGCCCGTCAAATTCGAATGCGGACCGCATTTTCTCCCTTCATTTGAAGGAACTCTCTTGGGAGCATATAAACATGTTTTATTTTTTGAAGTGCTCAAGTGCATACTAAAGCTCTGTGAGCATTCAAAGAGTTTGTACTATGTTATTTTTTATGGTCAAAAGAGTTTGTACTATGTTAGATAGGGGTAATTCAAAAGGGAAAAAAAATGTTCGAATTATTTATACTAGAGAAAAGAAGAGATGATATTTGGATTCTAGCGAGATTTAAAGGGAACGCTAGGCAAAAGGTAGAGAAAAGGGGAAATGTTCTTTAGGATCGATTGAGGAGATTTGATCCGACGGTGGTGAGCACAAATTAGGCTTTCCTATGTCATCGTCCCGTGCTTGTAAATGGCGGATCCAACTAGCGTGAGAAAGGGGCAGATTTGCTTCCGCTACAAGAGGCAAGAGAAAAGAAAGGAAAGACTGCATTGCGATGTAAGTATCGTTTTATATACTTAGGTGTAGATATAAACATGAGTATAAGTAACAGAGAAGAAAAAGTTTACTTCTTAATACACAATCTCTCCGCATTTGTTCATATTTATTTGTTAGAATACAACGTATTTGGATGAAGGGAAGAGATGGAAAGAAACAATTACGAGGAATTATGAGAGATTAGGAATGATTGGTCTAGGCAATTTGATATACAACTTAGGTCCCCCCCAAATATGAAGAAACTCGGTGGAATTTGGAGGGACTTACATATTAAGAGCTTGTTTGGGGTGCAGTTATTCTTGAGATTATCAGCTTGATGGTCCTTAGTAAAAAGTAGAAAATCTTGCCGGCCCGCAACATTTTGAGCCTGTAATTTGTCTCCTTCGTATAGCGTATGCACGACATGAATTCACTTTTCACGCACGCATGTTTTAGACAAGGCAGATCGTGAACTCCCAATTTCTTGGTGGATTTTTCTGCAGGAGTTGCAACTGCTGATCCTGGCTAAAATGCATGACAGAAGTCGCCTGTGATATCTAAGGAACCTCCCTAAGAATGACAAAGAAAACTGACACAATTAGAATCAAACAAGGAGAATGTTAGTACAGGAGGAGCAAAATCTGCGACACGCTTCCTGTATGCATGTTGTAAATGCTTTTACCCAGATAAGTGACAACTCTCCCCTAACTACCAATTATATACAGAATGTGAACATGAACCTTTTCATTTGGGCGGTCAGATTTGCTGACCGTGCATCCTCACCTTTCTCAGCCACGGGCACATTAAATGCTGATGAAAACTCACCTGCCAGAGAACAACACCGTGAAAAGTTATGCCGGTTCTGCTGAAAGCTTGACTGGAGACTGACGGAATTTCGCAAGTGCGTTCGCAAGAACAACAAGAAGTCCTCATTAGTTCTTTCTTCTAAACTATTGTAAACCTTTACAACGTATTCAAACTCTTGCCCATACATATGGGCAGCACATGCCGCCTTGCAAGTTAGGAGCTGAATATAACCTGCAGGGAAAAAGGCAAATGTAAAAATGAAATTAATCTAGAATGGACCACGGAAAACTGATAAAACCTGACTTGGACTAAAACCGATTGAATACCAGCGAAAACAACCACTGGCTAAATGATTAAACTCAAACGAAGTCAAATAGTACACTTCTTGAGTTTTAATTAGTAGTCGCTCTATCTCATGGAGCTGCGCAATTCATCATCTTGGCCAGTATAGCATGTGAACATCCTATTTTCAGAATACTATCCCCATTGATAAGCGGCTAATCATGCACTACAGTAACTTTAATTTTTTAAGACAGGAGCGAGTAAAAAGTTCATCATGCCTACAAAACCTGGTTTTGAATCTCCTTTTGGTAAGTAGTTGAGAATATACACACTTAGGTGGCACATTCAACATTGATTTGCACAGTCAACAAAGCCAACTTGAGGTATTATACATGACATGACATGACCAACCATGCAGACATCTCAGAGATAAATCAGATAAATTACCAGCTGCAATCTCTGTTTCAAGGATGCTATAGCTGAAATGACGTGTCAACCACCACCTGCACCGGAACCTCCAATTCTTGCCCAAGCCACCCCTCAGGAAATGGTCAGGGATCCTATTAAAACGACCAGAATAGTTTTGCCTAAATCCACCTTCTTTACCATCCAGATGCACTGACATGCAATCTTCTTCCTGCCTAGCAAGCTTGAGGAAACACATTGCAAATTCCCTCCATATCTGGTGTTCAGCATACATAGCATCCAGATGCAGAGAAATCATTTCCAGCATGGATCCAGGATGATAATCTCCTGCATGTTATGATGGGACATTAACATAAGGAAAGTTATAAAGCCCATAGAGAAGTGTCATCTGCTTTGGACGGATGCCATCACAGCAACTTCCAATGAATGGAATAATCCACCCCTAACCAAGTCATTAATAGCTTCCGAAAGAAGAAAAACAAAAGCAGCTGGACAATACATCTGTCTGGAAATAATCTCACAGACAATTTTTTGCATATCAAAAAGAAAAATGTCAAGAGTCCCAAGACAAAATTCTTCGATAAAATTTAAGTTCCCATCGTCAGAAACTAATAACCATCCAAACCCCAATTTGGTCGCAAAGAAGATCTTAGCCCATTTGCCGACCCTCATGTGCACTAACACCTTTGCCCACCTTATGAGAGAGATGTGCAGTATGACGAAATTTTTCCTCTTTCTTTACCTGCATTTGGTTAAATTTATTGAAAAATTAGGAGGATGGGGATTAACAGCGAAGCTTCATTGACATACCACTTTGATGCATAGTGACAAGCCTTGCCATTGAATGGCAGCACGTTGGATCCCTCTTTAAGATTTCTTCATAACATGATGAGAGCTCGACAACATTTTCACGAGCGAAACGTTCCAACAGAGCAGCTCGCACTCTAATCAAATTCAAATGTTAGTTTCCACAGAAACAGGCAGACATTGACAAAGAAATGACGATACTCAGCAAGAAAACGCTAAGGTACAAGTCCAAACTAGAACATTAAGTCCTACGAATTCAGTAAAGTTGTACATGTTACTTCCAACTTTGTTTGCTTGTATCCAAACCTAAACTTGTGATATAACAGAAGTACCTTAAAGGAAGGGCAGTATCTGCATGATGACAGACCTCCTCGAGCACATTCAATGCCTCATCTACTTGTCCGCAAATCAGCAGCAACTAGCAGAAAATTGGAAAAAATCAAATGAGATTCTTGCCATATGATGGAGAAGCAAATGGTATGGTGCATACATACAAAAACTATTTAACCAGCTAGGAGAGAAACCCAATATGTGATTTGTCTTCTGCATTTCAGCAGGATTAAGCTCACTTAGTCTAAACCATTTCATTCTACACAACAAAGTTCTAACTGCAGATGAAAAGGGAATGCCGCAATCAATTTGTTCAGGCAAGGCAGAGGCAATGTGCAAAGAAAGCAGACACTCAAGAACTCCGTCTGATTTAGATCAAAAAGTTAAAAGCACTCTGGAGCCGTAAGATAAAATGAGCATTGACATAAGCAATACACCAATGGACAGGATCAGGATGACCAGTATAAGGGCAAGAAAGATTCTTTCAAAAGTATTTCTCAAGATTTTTTTGAAGTCTACATCAAACAAACTTTTGCTACACCTGAATCAGAGGAAGTAGGGCATCTGATACTGCGCGTGATGAATCAAGAGCTAGTCGCAAATACTTTACTGCATCCTTGTAGACATTAAGCTTCTCCCGGTGCCGCTGGATGAAGTCCTCAGAATTCTTGATGTTTTGTGGCAGTCTTATGGGCAACAGCCATGAATCCAGGCCAACTAATTAAAGACCATGAGAAACACTCTCAATAATCAATGAAGAACTCAAAAACTCCTAATTGACTGTAGCAAGTGAAAGCAATAGAGGACAGAGATGTCAACGATTGTAATAGAGTAATGCTACAAAGTGATATGACGGAATGTGAGTGGTATACAAAGTATAGTAAGATTGGTCAACAAAGTTGTTTACAAAGTGATATGACAGAATGCGTGTGGATATATAAGCAAATGGAACATATTCAACACCCGATAGAATCAGCCATCTCATTTTGGCACCAATTTCAAAAACTAGTCTTATTACACATACTACTTATTCTATGCTGAATAATAGGATGCTTAATCTCCAAAAGTATTGCCGAAAAATTATATGCCTAGCATGAAATCAAGTGTTTAAGCTGACCAAAACAGCAGAACTATTGTCGAAAAATTATGCCACTCACCTAGATCAGATAAAAAAGAAGCGCAACGTACATTTCCAACATCGGTAGACTGTGGGGCTTCATCTTCAGAAGAATTCATGTAAAATCGTTGTGATTGCTCCTCCTCCAAATTATCCTCGACCTTCACAGGGACTTTCGTAGGTCTTTCATGATTAGTATCCACCGATATCCTTTTATCCTTCATGACAGAAGTGTCAGAATTGCATTGTGAGGATGTACTGGCCTCGCAACTATAAACGGCAGGATATCCCTCTGAGTTCCTAACTGAAACGTCAAATCTTTCCTCCAACATCCCAGTTTGTTGACAAGCATTAGTTTGCTCCAAATCTATCATTTGCATGTCTCTTGGGATACTCGAATACCACTTTTGATAAAATGTCAAACCCAATATCAGATCTGAAGTCGAATCTCTCCCAAGTTCTTGTTCTTGCATGAGCCTGAGAAAACACGAGGGTAGTGTCGATAAAGATAAAGATTTCAATCTTTTTTATCTAATGTAACCTTCAAGATGCGTATTCATTACACCTTGATTTGCAAAGCTTTTTTTATGCTAAGTAAAGCTGCATTAAAAAGGTACCACCTTCGAACTAAGTCCTTATCAATGCACAATACCAACAAGTTTTGCAAATCCAAAAGCATGTAATTGTCCTTCTTTGTCTTGTCACAACATATCATGATTCAGAAAATATTAACTAAGGTACAAGGTGCATAAATCAAGGGATGATTATTCCTGGATGGATTTGAGTTTTAATGAAAGGATTATTTCCATATTTAAAGAGAAGCCAGTTGTCAAGGATGAGTAACACATCATTTCGGGAGAGAGAAAAAATCGTACGATTGAGCATTCTGATGTGCTTTCTCAATATTCCCTTGAGTAAGACAAAAGAAGATGAGCTCCAAATGAACTGCAAGCCTATCCTGCCCACGGAAACGACCGCATATTAATAAGAGTTTGCTGACTACAGCAGAAATACAAACACCCGAGGAAGGTATAACCATTTCATTCCAAATTATATATATTAAAATAAGTAAAGAAGGTCAAAATAATGTCTTCAGACACAAGAATTTCAATAGATACCTGTGATGGGCAATTCCTTTTCGATCCTATCCTTGCCATCCAAATATCGTAAATGCGCTTGATACACTTGGCTTCTATATGCTGAAGGACCTCCATTAGCACCTGAAAAACATGGCATCACATTCCGCCTGTACACAAATTTTTGCGAGAGAAGCAACTCCAAATACCACGGTTTAACTGCTGCAAAAAAAACCGGGGCTACCACTGAGTTTAGCCTAAACATGAACACATTTTTGTACTTTCAGAAGCTGACTGCAAATCAATGCTCAGAAATTCCTTCTCCAAATTACCATGCAGCCAAAGAGCGACTTCCACTCTGCGATTCCTGAACCGAAAGCAATCATGAAGCAGCGATTCTACCGTTTGCACACCGTAACTTTTCCCTCTTCTCGCCATGTGGCAGCACTCTTCTTTACTCCGAACTAATTTTTCCCAATTTCGGTCGTAACAGTGACTAAATCACAGCCCTAACAATCACCGCAAAAGAAAAATACAAATCCAACAACCTAAACAGTCTAGAGAAATGAATTCGTGTCTCACCGAATACTTGAGCCGATTGTGCTCGGGACACCTATCCTTGCGCGTCCCCTTCAAGAGCACGCTCAGAACCCCGCTCGCCTCGGCCCAGTCGTGCCGCCTCGCGAGCCTGCGCAGGAGCCGATACAACCTGCGGCGGTTCTCCGACCGCAAGCTACCCCCGCCGAGCCCGAGGACGTACGACGGCTTCGTCAAGGAAAGCATGATCCTCTTGAGCAGCCTACCGTCGCCCGCTGACCCGACGCCGCAGCCGTCGGCTTCCGCGTTCGCCGGCAACTTCCTCTTGCGACTCTCCTCGTCCTCCTCAACAGCAGCGCCGCCATCGGCTTCCGCTGCCATCGCATCATCGAATTCCAACATGGCTGACACAGCGCTGCTGCGATTCCGCAAATTGCAACGTATCTTTTTTGGGCGCGATCTGAGTTTATATATTCGTGGGGACCCTGGAACGATTTGGGGGCTTAAGAGCCCGCCTTTTTCTTCCCCGTATTTTTTCCGAAAAACGAATTTAATTTCTGGATTATACCAGAATTTCCTAGATAATTCTTGAATGCTAAGATTTACATTACTTAGATATGGATTTTGTTCAAACACCCGTATGAAAGAAAGTTCATGATTTCCAATGTCACATCCTCCTCGTGTTTCTTTACGGAATGAGCTTAAAAAGTGTTGCGAAACACTCATTAATTAAACCCTTTAGTTATTTTAACGCGTTCGCCACTTGCTATTAAAAATTAAGTTATTTTGGTCATCCAAATATTCAAGTTTTTAGCACCTCCACTGGAGATCAAGCCTTGAAGCCCTCAAATCCAGTTTCTGACAAGGAATGAAAGATCATGCTATCTGGTCCGAAATAAAGCCATTAAGGCCCACGGGTTGTGCTTATGCGAAGAATCAAAATAGCACATGCCTCGAGATCGAGCCATCGAGCCATCGAATCACATTCGGAGCAGAATCAAGGTTCATATCGTTCAACCGAAGATCGCCCCATTAAAGCCCTCGAACAATCTTTTTTTTTTATTCTAGAAGGAAAAGAATCATGGGGCTGACGAGAGAGATTGCGCCCCCTTTCTTCTATCAATGCAGATTTGGCATGAAATTTTTCGTTCCGATTTCATTACGTAGATTACTGAGCCACCTTAACTTTTTTCGCTCGGCCAGATCTCTTTAACCAACTAAAAAAAATTAAGGAATTTCTCGACTAATGTAATTTTCTAAATCGTATTGAATTATCTGAATGAATTCGTTACGAGGAGGACTACGACTTCACAAGACACAGGACGTGCAAAATTATCGATAAACCTTTTGTCGACGGAGGGTAAAAGGGAGGCAAAGTTGGGTGGGGAGGGGGGGACAGATTCTCATGTGAAGTGTTCTCGGAGTGTGGAGATCGTAGCCAAAAGAAGGCTGAGCAGACGAGAAATTCGAGCTCCTGTCCTTTTCACAGCTCGTCCTCCCTAAAGTCCCATCCGGCTCCTCCCGCTTGCATCCATACGCACCTCTGCACGTCCCAACCAGCAATGCGTATCCATCAGCGACCGAAGGGCACGTTGCATCTTCTCCAGTGTGTCGGACGTCAAGATCCCCCACCTTCGACCTCAAAGGGGACGAAGAATGGGAGCCTCGGAGGGTTAAAGAGGAGAGGGAGGGAGGACGGGGGGGGGTCCTACGGCACGTGGTGGCCAGATTCCAGCAGTGAATAAACGGAAAAGAGGAGGGAGTCGCGACTTTTAAAGGGAGGGGATGCCGTTCTTCCCCAACAGCTGGAGCTAGCTGTGTCCCCCTCGTCCCCTCCCCATGTGACCTGCGACAAATACAGTAAACTATTGTCTGACCCAACCCAACCCAACCCCATTCAGAGCGCGAGAGAGAGAGAGAGAGAGAGAGAGAGAGTTCTTGTAACCCTTCACGAGGAATGACATTCTTGTCATGGTTCGACGTTCGGGTTCGATTCCCATCTCCCTAAACCCTCTCTGATTCTCTCCCCATTCGTCATCTCTACCGTCTCCGCTTGCTGGTCCTCTCCTTTCCGTTCACTGGTCGGGACATTCTTTGGTAGAGGTCAAGGTCCCGAGCATTGACAGTTCACGTTCCAGATTTGCAAATTGCATGGCGCAACCACCATCCCATGTATCCCACCTCATCGCCCCAAACTGGCCTCCTTCCCCTCACCCCGGCGGTGGCGGCTGCCAACCTTCGTGGGTCGATGAGTTCCTCGAGTTCTCGTCCACGAGGCGTGGGGCCCACCGGAGGTCGGCGAGCGACTCGATCGCCTTCCTCGAGGCGGGGGAGTACCGGAATACGGTCCGCCACAACGGCTATGGGTTCGACCGCTTGGACGACGAGCAGCTCGTGTCCATGTTCTCGGAAGACGGGAGCATGACCGTAACTGTCGCGCTGCTGCCCCCGGCCTCCTCCTCCGGTACGTCCACGCCGTCGGATCAGAACAGCAACAACGAGAAGATCAAGCCGGCCCCGGCAAATGCTGATCGGGCGACGCGACAGCAATTGCCCAAAACAGAACCTGGAATGTTGGAGGTGGATAGTTCGTGCAAGGCCGAATCGGATTCGGCCAAGGCTGCTCAAGCTTCCTCCGATGCCGATGCCGTTGTCGACCCGAAACGGGTTAAGAGGTAAAGTGAAACCATGATAAACATCCATTGACGTATTGAATATATGTTAATCCATGAGATGGAAAAATTAAATTTCTGTCTCGCACCATGTGAAATGTTTGCAAATGTCAGGATTTTAGCAAATCGACAATCTGCTCAGAGGTCGAGGGTGAGGAAATTGCAATACATTTCGGAGCTGGAACGGAGCGTAACCACATTGCAGGTACGCCGTCAATTCTTTTCTGCATCAACTATACTTATTTCATGACAACTTGAGAGAGTGAGAACTCATTGTGCACGCGGACATGGACGCGATGAGTTGCTGTATTTGTTCTCGAGTCACACAATAAATGTTAAAGCACACGATATATGCAGAGCGAAGTATCGGCATTGTCGCCCAGAGTTGCATTCCTGGATCACCAACGTCTGATTCTGAACGTCGACAATAGCGCTCTCAAGCAACGGATCGCCGCCTTGGCTCAAGACAAGATTTTCAAAGACGGTAAACAACTCCGACCTTCAACCTTCATTAACATTTCCAGATACATACGCATCATGCATGAGCGCACACAGCAGAATAACATTACTGCGTATCAATCCAACGGCATGCGCTTAACCTCATCATATTCAATGTTTAAGCACTTTTGCTTTTGGCCAGAAACGTACATTGATACATTAATCAATCCCTTTATTGTTTGAAAGGTGAGAAATGTAGCTGGTTAAATGTGAGCTTTAGCATCTCGATCCCTTTAGATGCCTTAGCGTATGGATCATTGTCTTTTCTTTTTCTATTCTTCTTTGCTTTTGTTATGAAACTTCAATCATGCGAAGGTGGGCTTATAGCATCTTTATTCATCAGCTCATCAAGAAGCACTGAAGAAGGAAATAGAGAGATTGAGGCGGGTGTATCAGCAGCAAAATCTCAAGAAGATGGCCGACGTGACCCCCGCCACCAATCCATCTTCGCCACCACAGGATCCACAGGGGAGATCCGACAACAACGGATCAACAGATAAGGACCAAATCCTCGACCATGAAAGTTGAAAAGGGGAGGAGGAGGAGGGGTCTCCTCGAATTGGGCCATCACGATCACATGGCGCGTGTTCCTATCCATCCCCCTAAAAAAAAGGGACAGAAAAATTGAAATGGCAGTTGAGAAAAAGCCCTTTTGTTTCAGTCTTCCCTCCCTTCAGCAATCATTATTCTTGTTCTCTAGCCCTTTCGTTTTTTTCAGACTTTGGGTTCAATCTCCGACATCATTGGGTAAAGTTTGTAGCGAAAGAGCGACTATTGTAATGAAATCATTGCGATTGTCTATCCTAATACGTTCCAAATTACACATCCGTCGTTGTTTTCCCTTACTTTATAGCGCGTTTTACTCCTGCAGATGAAGGATTCATTCGTTCAGAGCAACTAAGATAGAGTAGGGCTATAGGGTTCTTGGTGGGGCGAAGTTCTTATCTCTCGAATGCAAACTATTTTTGTTAATAATTAATACGATAAGGAAAAGGGACCGTCTCGAATAAATATGTACAGAGCGTTTCTATCAGCATAATTACTCTCATGTGAATCGGATTTCCCACGCAAAAGATAATGTGAATGCGACCACATTGATCGAATAATCACGAATAGGGAAGAACAAACAGGAGAGCTGGCAAAATGACCAGGAGGAATGTGAGAATTTGGATTTTTTTTAACGGGTGTTCACAACATATTAACGTTAGACGGATATTTGTTTTCAAAAATTTGAATTGCCAATAATTTAACAACATATATTCGTATACATCAAGCATATCTATTACATTTTTGTTGCTCCGACAATGGTCCTTTTTGTATTGTAGTGGACTCTACTTCATGGCATGAATCTTCGCCTTGGGAGATAATGTGGGGAAGATGACAGAAATGGTCTATAAATTTTGGTCCAATGTGCGATGCCCTCTCTGAACTTTTAATTTGTGCAATGCGATCCCTAAACTTTTAATATGTCCAATGTGGTCCCTAAACTCTGGTTCAATGTTCAATATAGTCCTTGAACTTTTAAATATTTTCATATAGTTTATGGACTCTATTAAAAAAATTACAAATAGTTCACGGATCACATTGAACAAATTAAAAGTCCTAGGACGATATTGAGTATTGGGCTAAAATTTAAGGACCACATTGCACAAATTAAAAGTTTATAAATGATATTACACATCGGATCAAAGTTCATGAAGCTTTTGTGCTTTAATCCCAATAATGTATCAAAGCAAAAATGGGTGCAAAATTCATGCCCGATTGAGTCCACGACACACGTTCACTGTACGGGCTGGGAGCAGGCCCAGCTTGACTGTGCGATAATGAAGTGAAGCGTTTTGGTGCTGGATCAATTAGACCCGTTACGTTGAGCTCCATAGTCCAGCTTGGCCATTCTAATTTAACGCCGACCCGAAAGTAGATCCATCTGACCCATCATTTTCGTCCCAATTGGAAAGGCAATTCAATGGAGAGCTGTACTTTCCTCTATCTAATCCCATTGGAAAAAAAAGTCTCTATCTGGACTTTCGATCAAATGTGACTTCTCTTACATCCAATAAAGCGACTATGCGTTGTCCTGTCTTTGGTTGGATACGTATCTTATAGATGTGATGAGATATGATATACAAATGCCCATCTTGTTTGCTGATATTCCCTTGACATGACGTTGGAATAAATATATACAATGAAAGGTATCGCGGTAACCTAAGCACTCGTTTGGTTCAATGTGGAACGGGTTCCTTAAGGAATGGTATTCCGATTCATATAAATATTTCATGTTTGGATAGAACTTTACGATATGGATTTGGATTCCACATGGGAATTGGATTACTTCGCTTTAGCATTGGGATTCCATGTTCACATTCCCACGACAACAAAGCTATATAAGACAAAAAAAAAGGCCCAACTTCACCCCGGACGGTCGTCAGTCACCAATCTCCTTTGCTAGTTGCAACTTGCAAGTGCCGCTAGTCATCATCAGCAGCCGCGACCGTTTTGTCAAAACTTATCGTCAAAGAAATACCTTTCACCAAAGGTTTGACCTTTGATTTTTTTGAGTGAATTAGATTATGTGGCACCTCAAACAAGAAAAAGTGGATATGGGACAAATTTCGAATGTTAACTAAATTAAAAGAATAAGGATTAAAGAATTGCAAACATGAATGGAGAATCGGTAAATTGAATTGCAGAATATTTGATAAGTGTTGTTGATTGTGGATCCTTTACAATTGATTCTATTTGGGCTTATATAGCCATGTATAAATTGTAAAATCAATAATCAATTGCCTCCGAGGTTCTCAGTTCCGCACTCGTGATATTTAATTGCATACCCCTATCCATACGCAGTTGTAATATTTATGATTTATCTCGGTTGATTATCTTCAAATGTGGTTGACCATTCATTTCTGTACGTCGACAAGCACCCTGGTCTCCCTTTCGCCGATGGCATTATTGACTACCCGATGTTGATTTGACACTGGGCATTCATCAATTTGTGACCACTTCACTTGACTATCTTGTCATTAATTCCATCCCAACATCTCTCACTAAACCTTGGATCATTTTTTGGGAAGAAAATACTAAAAAAATCCTAAACCTACTACATTGATACAAATTCAGTCCTAAAACCTTTCAATTTAAACAAATTAGTCATAACCTGTTACGTTTATGTCAATTTTGATCGGGAATTGCTACTATGGATGTTGACCATTTTGCGTAGCATGGCCGCTATTGCCATGGACATTTCTTTTTAAATTGTTTTCTAAATTTTATATTACTTTTTTTGTTTTTTTCCCTTTTCTATTTTATTTTCTTTCATTTTTTTCCCAAATGTGGGTCGGCGAGGGCCAACAACCTTCGCTGGCCCATAGATGAGAAAAAGAAAAAGAAGGAAAGAAAAGAAAAAAAGAAAAAAAAAATAGAATATTTTGAAAAATTAAAAAAATATCATCGTCAGCGTCGACCATGTCATGTAAGACGGCCGGCGTCCACGTTTTTTCGGACTAAATTGGCCAGATGAACTCAATTGATACCAATGCTAAAAGGTCTACGACTAAATTGATCCAATCGAAAGGCCTAGAACCGAATTTGTACCAATACTTCTCCCATTTTTGGGTGTCAAGAAGGATTCTTCAACAGACCCAAAAATGGTCTCATCACCCAAGCAATTGGAAATGAGCCTTATGCCGACATAGGATACCACCTGGTGTTGGAACGAGAAAACCATCCGTGCGCTCATTGGTTGGCGCGGCCGCATAGATTGCGGTAGGATGAAAGCCAGTCTCCATCGCACCCCAACGCAACTTCCGTAGGGGGACCCTCCTATCCTAGCCCTAGGGCCCACGGCGCAAAGATCGAGCGGATATTTCCGAGCTCCTTTGCGGTGGGAAACGAAAGTTTGGTAGAGCAGTCAACGCAAAATTTTGAAAAGTAGGTTTGCGAAATCCGGCATTGTCGCCGCGTGCCGTCACGTCTCGTTCTTTTCAACGCAACTGCCGGGACGATTTACCGGTAGCGTGGGGGCCAGCCGCGCGCGGGTGGTTAGTTCGTGGCCACCCCCACCCCACCCGACGCTTTTTCTTTGACCCCCCACCCTTCGCCCGTATCCTATACGCTTACGACCCACAGATGAACACGGCAACCGAAGTGGTTTGTCCTGTTGTTTTTTCCTGTGTGCTCGCTTTTCATGGGACAGTCTCGTGTGCCGACCCCCATCGGCTAGTACATTGCCACGTGTCGCGTCTCCCACGCACGCGCTCTGGCTTTTGGATAATTTGACGTGCACCGTTAAAACCCGCTTCGTGGATGGATCGAAGGTCACGGTTGATTATTTGGGAAACACCGGTAGCTTCTGCGCTAGGTTGTCTGAGCGCGTGAGCGTGATGGGTCCTTAGTCAGTTTCTTTCGGTAATCGCGTTCACATCCTCGACTCATGGCCGCGCTTTATGCGTTACAAACTGTATAATAGTACACGTGTGCGAATAGCACATGCTCTCCAGCTCCACACCGCCCGTTTTTCAATTTAGATTTGCAGGCGAGGGAGCGATTTGCAAATCATTTGGCAAAGATATTATCGGCGTGATGTGCATCGGTGTCCTCGATTAATGATTCGCATTCTTTCGGTTGGAAAATCTCATCGACGGTAAGGGGCTGATAAAGAAATACCTTCTTGCGATTTTAGCTCGAGCAACAATCGAACCTACGCACTTATCCCCCTTTGAGGTACAAGAGTCTGGAACACCTTTTCAATTCCAATTGTGTCCATCCCTAAATTGTTTGAATAATATAAAATTGATTGTTGGATTTCAGCACGTTCGTGGCTGGATTCTAAATTTGGAAGTCTTGATTTATGGTGGGTGCCAGAAGAAGATCGAAGGGACCCGACCCGATTGGATAAATGTCCAAGATTTAGCACAAGATATGCACTAGTTACTTCTTTTGTCTTGGTTTGATTATTTGACCAAAAATTTGGACGTGGACAAAAGAAAGCACTACAAGACAAAAAGGGGGCACACTTATTCTAGAATATTTATATTTCTCGTGTGGGGGTGGGGTAAAAGGGTCAAGCTTGTTCTCTTTCCTCTGCCCAGCCCACTATAGCCGAAGGAGAGGAGGAAAAGAAAAAGGAGACCCAGGTCAAGGGTCTCATTTTGAGCCCCTACGCCCGAGGTCGTCCTCTTTCTAGGTGTGCAGCCGCCATGGGTTCTTTCAAAGCTTTGAAAGATGGCCGCACAGTGAAGGATGGGCGTGGGTTCCCAAGTGTGCATTGTAGCTGGTTCCTTGAATCTGTGGAGAAGCAAAACAGTGAAGAAGGCGCCGCACAGTGAATTTGTGCTGTGAGTATTATTTTCATTTGAATTGTTTATTTATAAATACTTAGAATTTGGATTTAATCTAGATGCGAAAAATACTCGAGTATTGTGAGCGATTATTGTAAACTTGGATTCTCCAATTATAGTAAATTATACGGTACTGGTTCTCTTCGTGAATGTAGATTTCGATACGTCGGACCGAATCACGTAAATCTTGGGCGTCATTTATCATTCCTCGTTATTTTCTCTGGCTATGTTCGCGTTGACATAAATTGTAAGATCCCGAATTTAGCTTCCGCGTTGGTTAAAATCACAATAAGAACCTCCACCATTTAATGCTTTCATAAGGAAAAGAGGAGCTCTTGTTTGGTTTTTTGTCAAAAGCGTGAAGTTCTAACCTTGTCAGAAGGTTTTTGTCAAAAGTGTGAAGTTCTAACCTTCACGATCTTTGGCTAATTTAACGTTTGCGTTTATTTTGTTGTTGACATTTTGTCCTTTAGAAAGTAAGTCAGTGGTATGTTTTTTCTTCGTCATTAAATGTAGTATAGGTGCTGTGCTTTTATATATAAGGATTTGAGGTGAGTGTTGTATACGAATAGAATCCATCAGAAAGTATTCTAAGAACAATTTCTTCCTCCAACTTGTGTATTCGTTTCAAACTTCTAAAAGTTATCGTTATTCCTTTTGGTTCTAACACGAATTAATTACTCAAATCGTGCACTTAAAGAATGGATTCGACCGTATTAAGCTTTGCCTTAAAGAGAATGAGTTGGATCGTGCGCACTAACTTGCCATAAAGAGAATGAATTGGACCATTTGGAGCAGCTCCTGCCAATCTATTGAATTGAAACTGTTATTTATTCAATGCTGCAGCTGCAGCTGCAGTCTACAGCCCCAGCCCCATTCAATTCTCTTTCAGATCCCCCATGATGAACTCAGTGGAGCAACTCGGCAACCGATAAGTCATGCTTTGACCGTTGGCTTTATTTATCAGCCATTGATTTCTCTATTGTTACAGGTGTCCCTTCGACTTGTTTTCAAGCTTCAGCTGCGGAGGAGATCGCGGAGGACGTGGTGCATAAAGCCTGTTCGTTACTTTCGTCTATACTTCTAGTCACGACTTTTTTTAACATTGCTCGAAACGAAATTACGCAACTATGTACATTTTCGCACGTCGATATCATGCATTTTTTTTTTTGAAGAATTCAAAGCGTTCCGGGCATATAAAAGTCGAACGTATATAGTATTTCGCGTCCATGATATCACGTGTTTTGAAGAATTTGAAATGATTCACAACGAATAAGAGTAAACGAAAGGTCTGACAAAAAAAAAGAGAGTAAAAATAAGTCCCAAAATAACAATAAAAAATGAAAAGTTACCCTAAATAAAGGGCAATCGCCATGTAAAGATATAATGACATAAACAGTTCCTGAATTTCAATAGAAGGACTGTATTGAACATTTTTACATAATTTAAGAACTACATTGACATGTACTAAAAGTTTAGGGATTGAACAAATTAAAAGTTCATGGGCCATATTGAATATTAAGTTAAAGTTCAGAGATCACATTGAATAAATTAAAATTTTGAAGATCGCATTACATATTTTGTCCAAGTTCAGGACTGTTCGTTCCATTTTTGCCGCGCAAATTGGCTCATTGATTACATTAGATTGCTCCTACTGTTACCGGAAGCGAAGGCGGAATGAAATCTCAAACGCCATCAACCATTCCCGCCTTGACAAGTCACAAGATCATCCTAGAAAAACGATATAATTCCTCCTGAAGAAGTCAACAAAGGGCAATTATATCTTTTGGACCAAACCGGAGACCTTTGCTTTTCCCCACCTTTTTCAAACGATCACGCGAAATCGTACGGTGATCGAGCCCCACACCGCAGCTTCGGCCCAGGAGATCGTGGAGCTGATCTCACCGTCTCGCTCGGTAGTCCGACAATAGTGCGGCTCCCGAGGTCGGCCACGTGGGGCCCCGCCCTTCGGATCTCCGGATGTGAATGCTCGTTGGCGATCCAAAATGACGCAGACCGGATAATACTGTGGACTGAATATTCAGCATTAACTTAATTTTGCACGGCTCTTCGACTTCGAGAGACCGCGTGGTATTAAAATAAAATAAGAAAATCGCGCTCGAAAATTTTTGTCTGTCGACACGAAGAAAAATAGGGATAATGACACGAATATAAACTTTCGCTCAATGTATAATGTGATTCTTGAACTTTTAATTTATTTAATATAGTGTCTGAACTTTAGCCTAATATTTAATGTGGTTCCTGAACTTTTAATTTGTTCAATACGATATCTGAATTTTTATTATATGTTTAATCTAGTCCATGAATTAATGTAATCATTTTATAAATTTAAGATCATGGACAACAATGAATATTTTTCATAGAGTTCAGAATTAAAAGTTTAGGGATTACATTGCACATTTAGTTAAAGTTCATGGATCACGTTGACTAAATTAAAAGTTCATCGGCTACATTGCACGTTGAGCCAAAGTTCGGGGATTGTTTATGCCATTTTTCCATAAAAATACTATATTTGCCGCGCTTTTTTTTTTAACAAAGTAAAAAATAATCAGCGATTAAACAGAATGAGAGAAAAAAAATTGAAAATCCGACACCACGCGGCCGGCACTCCAACATACGTAAAGCTGTCCTTTGCCGGCAAAGCTGATCGACTTAAGCCAACCTTTCGTTGCGGTTGTCCGCTGCGCTTCTCTTACAGTCTCTCCTTCTTCCTCGATCGCTTCTGTAATCTCTTCGCTTTTCCATCGCTCTCCGTACCAAATGGCCAGTCGCCGCCCTTCCTCTCCTCCTCTCCTGCTCCTCCTCGTCCTCGTCCTCCTCTTCCTCGCCTCCATCTCCGCCGTCCGCTCCCGCTCCATCACCATCCGGCCCTCCGATCCGGTCTCCGGCGTCCTCAGCCCGCCGCTCGGCCGCGGGTCCCCGTTCTCGGCCTCGTCCGACTCCTGCGACGAGACCTACGGCTTCCTGCCCTGCACGTCCACCTGGATCGGCAACCTGTTCCTGATCCTGGTGTACGGTTACCTGATGTACATGGCCGCGACGTTCCTCTCGAGCGGCAGCGAGCTGTTGCTGGAGATCCTGGGGCCCGGGCTCATCGGCGGGCTCTTGCTGCCGATGCTCGGGGCGTTACCCGACGCCATGCTCATTCTCGGTGAGTTTTGGTCGGTTTCGCATTTGCCGGACGGCTCGTGTTTCGGGCGCGGTTCCTGAGAAACTTTGAGAGAGTGAAGTGAAGTTGAGTAGTAGAGTAAGTTATAGCGGGCAGAAAATAGAGCGCTCGGTTACGTTTCCCTTCTGAAAATTTACGGTTTTGGTGTTTCACTGAATCTGAACTGTTGCTGTTGCTTTTTATATGATTGCAATTCATCGTAAGCTATTTTACCCGATGCAATTTGAGTGTTATCTGGAACCTGGATTTGGTAGGTTATTTCTGCTGAAGATGCAGATGTAATTGTCTGTCTTACTACTGGAGTAGCATCTCGATGTCCTGTTCCTGCCCTGACCCTAATGCACTTCCACTGCCGTAGTAAGATTATCTATATAATCCGAAGGACACCGCCAAGGTGGATTTGCTTTTCACTGGCTATAATGGGACTATACGTTCTGTAAGTGTTTTGTTTTTCGGATCAGGATCCCGGATCCAGATGCTAAAAAAGATGCCCATATTCGAGATATGGCGAGATTTATACTTCGGGGATTGTGCACTACAGAGTGGATGACAATATCAAGTTAAATAGATTCAAGTGGCAGATGCTTGGTTGAGCAACGGAATATGGGAATGCATCTTCTTTTTACCGGTCACACATAATAATCTAGTCCTTTGGTCTCTGTTGCATAGCTTTATGTCATTACCTTCTGTAGTCAATCCTCTTGTGAGGATAAGACTAGTCAATTCTTTGCCTAAGTTGCATTTTTGTTGCTGAACAGTTTGGTTGATTGCTTTGTAACATTTTTAAACGCTCGGCACTGGTTGCTGGGAGTAGTTTTCATCACCCTGTCTTTTTCTAAACTAGAACGTTATATTTCCTACTCCGCTACCCAGTTTGGAAATTTTCACCTTTTCTGTGTGTCTAAGGGTTCCTCCTGTCTCTGATGATTGATGATGCGTTTATTCATTTGATGATTGTAATGAATTTCTTGAGAAATGCTTTTCATTATTGTTTTCTGCAGTATCTGGACTGTCTGGAAGCACGGAAACTGCACAAAGTCAAGTCTCTGTTGGAATGGGCTTGCTTGCGGGTTCAACTGTCATGCTTCTAACTGTCATATGGGGTTCGTGTGTTCTTGTTGGCAAGTGTGACCTCACGGACGTGCCTGAGTCAGGCTTAGCTGCAGTGGATAATGAGGATACAAAAGGGTTTAGTTTGACAGGTTTGCCTTTTGCTAGCATTTCTCGATTATGTATGCCTATTAGAGGCTCTAAATGTAAGATCCTAATATTCTTCTTTAATGTGTATGTGAATGCCCTGTGTTTGCCTAATCAACCCTCCAGCAGCTTTTGCTGCTGACCTTTGAAAAAGTTGCTTTAGAGAGGTAAAAATTTGCTAACTTCCAGTCCCCTCCCTTGGCAATAGAGGTTTTATTTGGCTGGGAATATTGTTTGAGCTTCTATTGCGAGTGGTCATTACCCAGTGGCAACGACAATCCCCCAAGCTGGGAACCTAATCTAATTAAAGTTTAGATTGAATCATGTAAAAGGCAGCCTTTATTGTGATTGAATGATAGGTTTGCAGTAATGGTAGTTATGGTTAAGGAAGGTACGCTCTTGTGTGGCTAAATAAGGTTTCAGTGTAGGAAACAGGTTACGTAGGCCAGGTGCCTAACTGGCTTTAAAAATTTTGAAGTGTGTTAGTTTTTCAATTAGTATAATGTGGTCTTACTTTACTGGCATGCTAAAAGGTTCCGTGCCCTCCTTAAATCTGTTTGACCCTGGTCCACTGAGCTGAAGCATAGAAGTTGTGACTGTGATTTCTAGAGACTGCTCAATCCATCCTATATCTTAATTTGCATTGTTATCTCTACCAGTCTGTAATGACTCATCATCTCACAGTACATGATAAGCGCAACACTTTCAGGTTCTGGTGTTACTACCGATAAGTTAACAAGAAGTGCAGCAAGGATCATGATTATCTCAGTTATTCCATTCGTGGTTGTTCAACTTCTGCAACTTCTCAATTCAACATCGGGAAGGCATGTGGCAGAGTTGATAGCACTGATTCTGTCTGTGGTTCTACTGATCTCTTACTGCCTATATCAGGTAAGTCGTTGTGAATTGCTGTTCTTAACCCGGACTCTGCGACTCTGCCTTTTGTCATGCATTTTGAGTATATGTAGCAACTGCGGAAGTACGGATGAGGTGTGCTTTTATGTTGCCATTATATAGCTAAGGCTGTTTAGTGTGAAAACTTTAAGGCCGCGACCTCCGTGTATGGTTGCTGGCACCAATCAATTGGATTAACTGAGTGGAAGGTGACCCTTCCCTCATAAACTTCTGTCATAAGTTCCTAACAGCGAAATGGTGACGTTGTTCTTGTAGTCTTATCTTTTTTCTTCCTTTGCTTTGACGATGATGTACATACACATTTCTGCGTGAGTCCATGTGCAAACAAGCTTAAGAAAAGTATTTGTGCCTAGGTTTTTTGATGTTCTATGGCGCGAGCTTATAAAGACGTTCGATATTCTGACTTTATAAAGTGGGCAGGTGTTCCAGCCTTGGATCCAAACGAGAAGACTTATATTTGGATTCTTAAGACATGTAAACAGGCGTGCCCTAGGAAGGCTTATGAACGATAATGGTGAAGTTGACACGGCTATTGTGGATAAGTTAGTACTGGTGCTAAGTTAAATTCTTTAGGTTTCCTATACTATTTAGGTAGCTCACACCTTTTTTTTTTTTGACAGGCTATTCGGAATCATTGATGAGAATAATGATGGCCAACTCAGCGTTAGCGAACTAAAGGCATTCTTAGTAGGATTCCGTTTTGAAGAGATAGATCTGAATCGGGATGATGCTGTAAAGAGAATCATGGCAGATTTTGATACCATTGACCGTGATGGTCGACTTTCAAATGAGGAGTTCAGAAAGGGTATCAAAAAATGGCTAAAGAAGGCGGTGTCTTCAGGAGTAGGTTTCAGTCGCAGAAATTGGGGCACGATGAAGTTTAATGATGACGCTCACAGTGTAAGTGACACAAGCAAGTTCCCGTATTCTTTAGTAAGTCGCTATCTAGTTTATTTGGATATTTTGAAGGTTCACAAACTCTTCTGCAATACCCTTGTGCAGCAAGCAAAGGAAGAGCACGCGCAATTGTTAGTGGGGGATCAAAGCGATGAGGTGGTTGAAAATGTAAAAATGACCTCCTTAAAAGCAGTGGGATTGATTGTTCTTGGAACAGTCATAGCAGCAGCGTTTGCTGATCCCTTGGTAGATGCGGTCGACAATTTCTCAGACGCCACTAGTATCCCCACTTTCTTCATTTCGTTTATTGCACTGCCCTTGGCTACCAACTCCAGTGAAGCAGTGTCGGCAATAATCTTTGCTAGTCGTAAAAGGAAGAGGACATCATCACTGACATTCTCTGAGGTGTGCCTTTGACTTATTTCTATTTATCTTGATTTGATTATCAGAATCTAGTGCAACTATCTCGTAGATGTCATTGAACCTAAGATTTATTTTCGGTGTGGACATTGGAATGATAAATCTCGTCAGCAGTCATTCCATCATTTTTTTGTTGTTTTTATTTTATGAAGTTGTTTGTCTTATGTTCAACAAGAATGACGATATGCTCAGTGATTGGCATCTTATCTCTTTTGGTACATTGTGCAGTTATACGGGGCGGTGACCATGAACAATTCGCTCTGCTTAGCGGTCTTCTTGGCTCTTGTCTACATCAGAGGACTAACATGGGACTTCACATCAGAAGTGCTTGTAATTATTATTGTTTGCGTTGTGATGGGATTATTTGCCAGCTTCCGTACCACCTTTCCTTTGTGGACATCGTCAGTAGCCTTCATACTTTATCCTTTCTCGCTGGCGCTGGTCTACGTTCTCGACTATGTCGTTGGTTGGTCATAGATTTGTTCTCAGGGTACTCAAGGGGATGCAACAGTTTTCTGTCATATTCCCTTTCTGGCTTTTCTAACATTGGATCTTTTGGAGTAAGATTGCATCCGGATTTATTCCTTAGTTATAGTAATCTGAGAAATGGTGTTTTGTAGTGAAAGGATTAAGAATTTTTCCATGTCGCTGAGATGTTGAATGAAACACTCTGTTTGCGGAATTACATTGGGATGCTGCCTCCTCTTTGATCGTTCTTGTGGATTTATATGCTTGAGTGGAACTGTCTGTTTCAATATTAGTCAGAGGATGGTACATTGTCATCCTCTTTGGGTTGTCAATTCCCTCCTCTGTTAGGGTTTATGCAGAGCTGATATGGATGAATATGGATGTTTAATATGGTGACCTCGCCATTCTGGGAATGAGAGGAGGATGATCACGATTGCCATGCAATCATCCGCGTGATTCATGATCCACCAATCAGACGAATTGGCAGAAAAAACCCAAGAAAACCAACATCCATCAAATGTAACGTCCTAACAAACATATCTACAAACCAATCTCCGTTCTCCTTTTCCACGTCACTTTTCAGGTCAGAACGCTCACTTTAGCCTCGCATGTAACATGGAGCCATCTTGAAGTTCAGGGGAAATAAAGGCAGTTCTTTTCTGAGCTTGCCACTAATAAATGAGATGCCTCACGACGACTTTATCTTGGCCACCCATCTCTACAACTTCAAGTCAAGATCAACGGTTCCATCTGCAACTCCATTGCGAAAATTAGTAATGCTTGCAGCTCCTTCATCAGAATGCATCTTTGTCGAAGGGAGGAAGCTGTAGTAGTTGTAATTCCCTTGCTGATTCGCCCACCTAGGTCCCTTTTGAAATTTTGAATCTTGCTGACGTCCCTTTTCACAAATGTAGGTAATCAAGTAGATTTAGAACCACGACGACAATGATGCGGAACATAAAACTTACTAAAAAAATTAATCTCACCTGACAGTGTGGTATCTCATTATCGGGAGGTTCACTGTCGGCAAAGGCTCCGGAACCAAATGGCTGCTTGCTCTTGGTACTCGGCCATGCCGATGCCAAAGTAGGAAGGCCTAATGTGAGGAACTCGTTTCTGAAAACTCCATTTTGTTTCTTACTTGGAATTGATTTTGCATCGGAAACTGAAGCTTGAAATGAAGAATACCTGCAACAATTTCAAGTATATATAAAGGAAGCACGACACTTGCTGTTTTGGCGAGACAATGAAAATGTACCTAAAACTCCCGGTCCCTGGTTCGTAAATCAATTCAGCTCCATAGGCAGATGAAGCCGAGACATCTGACCCCGGGAGAGTACTGGCAGATGTAAGAAGCTTTGAGTGGACCGGAAATACAGGGAGCTTTTCTGAAGAGAATGGACATGACCGCTTCAAGCCACTTATCTACATAACAAGTCAAGGAAAAATATAGCGAACTAAGTCCATTTTATGTAATGCATGGAATCAAGACGCGAATCCTTAATTGTTTCACGAATTCTACCACTCAAGAAAAGTGTAACATATGTACGTGTAGATAAATGATCACTGAAGGAAAGACTCATGTGGATATCCTCCTCACTGATTGCTGAAGGAAAACTTGCCAGTCCTGAGAAAACATGAATTTTGTGTAGATGGATGCTCGCTAAAGGGAAGCCTAGGATTATCCAGGTATCGGCATACCTTCTCTTCCTCCTGCTGGATAGGAGCATAATTGCCATGATAGATTTGGTTTGAAGGGGGCTCTGTCTGAGAATTTAGTATGAATGATGATGAAGTTGTTGACGCATTCACCTGCAGTATACCCACTACATTAAAGTTCTTATACAATCTTTCAATACAGAAGGAGAAAAAGGACCAGAGGAAACTTAGTAAATTAGAAGTCACAAACTGAAATCCAGGAATAACAAGCCGTTGCATTACCATGGAAGAAGGTGGTGGATCATACCGGGGTAAACCTGACAAAGGCCAAAGATAGTCAGATTCACTAGGCAGGGGTAATTTTGAGCATAAAGTGAATCGAGGGTCTATCTCATGACCATCCTCGGCAATATGCTCACAAGAATTCCACACTACACGATCATTCCAATTTGAATATGCTGTATCGTACAGACCAGGATTCTCAAGCCCACCATATTTAAAGGCCTTTGCCAATGGAGCTGTGCCTTTCGCCGGGACTGACATGTCAGGATCTGAATCTTGTGGAGGCGTTAATGTTGAAACTGCAGGAACAGATGCATAGTTCTTCTGTTGTTCTTCAATTCTGATCTTCTCCAACTGTGCCACTCCAAGTCCTCTCTGTGGCACTTTCTTTTGCTTCTGCTTTTTGGAAGATCTTGTTCTGACACCACCATAACTACTGATGCTGCACTTTGGATTTCTCTCTTCTTGTCCCATTCTGATCTATCTAATTCCAAAATGAAAGGACCATCATAGTTTTCGTTCAAAATAAGAAAGCAGCTACTTTCTCATGGCAAAGGGTTCATCGAACGAGTATCGACACACTTCTTTCAAAACAAAGAAGGCCAAGAGTTCATTGATACCCCAGAAAAGATTATTACCATGAAAGTTGAGTTTAGAATCAAAATCTAGAGGAAGATGGAGAACCCAAATGCCCAATGACAAAACAAAATAGTGGCTGGTCAATGAATCCGAGAAACCAGTAATTTTTATAGCCCTTGGAGGAAAATCACCCAAAAGCTTAGCCCATTTTTCAGCTAAGATTGACGAGGGGAGAGAGAGAGAGAGAGAGAGAGAGAGAGAGAGAGAGAGAGAGAGAGAATCTGAGTGGTTCCGGATATTTCTCACAACCAGTTGCTTGTCTGAGAGACGAGACAGATCAGGTCGAACCTATACAATTTAGTTGGAAGTATGAAAGACCTTTTCTTTTCTTTGCTTTCGAAATTCATTAGAAAAAACAAAAAACGTTCAACTTGCTCTCTCATTTCTCGCCCATATTATAGCATCTCCTGTTTCTTGTTTGTTCCTTGCTCGATCACACCCACACTCTGAGCGGTTACAGAATTTAAATTACCACGTCAAGACTCTCTCTGTCTCTCTCTCTCTCTCCAAATAATGGCTTCCAAAGTGGAGTTCTTAATGGAGCTAATAGCAATATTGCTTGGCAATGTCACCTTACTTTGTTTGTTGCAAAAGAGAAACAGACTTTGTCCAGAATCAGCATGAGAGAGCTTTCGTGGGGCCTTTGAAGGTTTCCCACAAGTGTTTGTCATGATAGAGACAGAAGAGAACAAGCAGTTTTTCAAACGAACTATTCTCACCAGATATATCATTCCATATACGTACGCTTGCAACAAAAATTACGTCTTTTAAAGGTGAATGTTGCTCCAAACCATGTATCTGAGAAGATGTGATTGGAATAACTTGGCTTCGATAAATGGTATCGGCGTGCAACAATAAAAACCCGTGTGCCTGAGAAGAAAATGATTCTCTCTACTACTCTCGTCGATCCGTTCAACTTTTTGGTAAAAATGGGAACTGTTGTACAGGTGAACCAGTGACGCAAGGTGAGGATGAGAGACCGTGAGTTTAAATTCAAGCCTCGCGAAATCTAACCGTTACTGAAAACTAAGTCGCGAAACTTTACGACAGTTAAAAGGAAGTCACTGGCGTAAGAAACTTATCAGATGCCATCGTTGAACGTCAGGCCCAGGATGATATTGACACTAGCCGCTATGGTCCTCACAGGCTATGGTACTATCTTTCTAGTGAGGAACTGCTTTCTCATGTCACACAACCAAGTACTAGGGTTTTTGCGTTTCCCCGCTTTGTGTAGGAAGGTCCCCGTCTTTAACTTCCTCAAGAGAAGACCGCAGTTTCGCCTTCTGCTTAAGGACACTCTCGTCTGTCATCCTTTAATTGCGGTGGAGCCCTTGTGACCACAACCTCTTTTGTCATGTAAACAATGCCAAGACGTTTCCAAGAGAATGGAGCACGATGACCCTATACAGGCATCTATTGAAAGATTACTTTGTTTATACGTATTTTCAATTCTCATTTGGCATTTGATCGGCAATTGTTGATTGAATAATCTGTGCAGCGTTAAAATTATCATACTCGTGTGAATTACAGCAGACAACGAGATCTTAGTGTGAATAATATAATTCAGGACGCCTTTCTTCCTTCTCAGAGGATCTGATATCGAAATGTCACAAAGAAAGAGGATGCGGTTTTTCTTTCGTCAAATGGAATCACATCTTAAACAACAGATTGAATCCATGCATCTACTTTCCGTCGCCTAAACGATTAGAGAAGACGGGGATGAAATCAAGGTTCTGTTTGTTATTTTAGGGGTAGAAGTCCAGTTCGATGATCGTGATTTTTCCTTCTCTCTGGTTTATTTGTATGAAAGGGATGTGCCACCTATAAGTTGGAGAGCCATTTCATGTAGCTGGAAAGTTGTAAACAAGGGGCAAGACAAAGTACCATCTCCATTTCCATGAAACTGTGTTTAAATCTTAGATAGTTGAAATGGCAACACCACCATATATATGTGGATCCAATCTTAGGAATTTGAGGAGGACCACATCGGATTCTCTGTCTCCATTGATGCTGTTTCTGTGAATTCTAGCCTCCAATATGATATGATGCGAGCCCTGCAGGGCACCAGAAGAACCGTCGTCCCCATCCGGAACAAAACAGAAGAACTGACTGCACAGTTGATGTATGAGACGACGAGCGTATTTAGTATTTTATTTCCTCGTATGCCCAAAGTAGCATGTACTTGATAGATGCTTTATATTGCAAACTCACTCTGCAATATATCGAGCACAATACCTGTTTAGTGGAACCGTGACTGATGTATTTCCCCAAGAAGTAGATTGAGACCTCGAGCGCTTAAAAGTGAGTTTCACAATGCCACTATTAGTATAGGAGCAACAGCCAGCTCCCCGCACTACCCGTGACTGCTCCAAAAGTTTCGGGCTAGCCACAACTCTCCTCATTAAAGTTGGATTCAATTACAGATGGCAAAAATGAAACACATAGCAGCATGAATTTAGGGGGAGAAAAAGCATAGAAGAAGAGCAAGTTAAAACCGAAAAGAGTCATCAGCACCATACTTGCCCCTGTTATTGTAGTGCTCGTATCTCGCTTTCTCATAATCAACAGGCTTCATCTCAACTGGTTTCTGCTCCGCCCCGAATGATCCATAAACCACTTCTCCGCTTTTGTCTCGTTGGCGATGCCTAGTCCTTTCTTTGTGGCTCTTAACTTTGCTATATGGAGGAACCTCACCTGAACCATAGAATTCCGCATATTCCTGTCGTTTTGAACTTCGATGTTTGCTCAATAAAGAAGGATCCTTGAAACTGCTCGATTTGAGTTTCGTAGGCTTAGTTTCGGAGTGCTTCTCAATAGGAGTATGAACCTGCCTGGTTTCAGAAAGTGGAGCAGGAGTCCTCTGCCTCTGAACTAACTGGGGATCAGCTTCATCCTCAGGCATCCGGAGAGAATCCTTCAATGGCGTGAGAGCCTTCTTTGTGCCCCTGGGTCTGAGACGTGAGGGCACAAAGTAAAGGAATATTCCTACCAGTGCTTCAAGTCCAAGCTTGAATAGATCAATCAAGAGCTGCCCAAATGATGGCCACCCTGGGTCTTCTTTGGGGGTATTCACAAAAGGAATTGGCTTTTCTTCCATTAGTTCCTTTTTGAGCACAAACTCAGAAGGTTGTGGCTGCATCTGCATCAGTACATTAATCAAAGATCAACCACATGCGGCAATTGGTCTTTTCAGAACAGGTTCCTAATGTGTTGTCACCCTTATAGAAAAAACGAAAATTTTCTGAAGTTTTGTGGTAAAACTTCTCACCTCCAGTAACAGAGAAGTAGAGAGATACTAAGTTGACATGTAACATTCAAGGCATCCTAATGACCATGCAAGTGGTAATAACATTTACTCGTTTATACTCCAAGATGACTAACGGACCCGGAAGACCCCGTTAGGGAATGCATGAGAATACTTTGGACAAAGTGCTCAAAGATTGTGTGGCGTAAAGAGAGCTAAGAGAGAATAAATGAAGGCAAACTAGAGATGCTTATATATCTGTAGCAGATGTGAACATATAAATCTTCTAAACCAGAGCTGGGGAAGGATACCTTGTTAGAGTAGACAGAAGGTCCACATCCTTGGTGCAGTATGCAGGCAACATATCCAATCAAGACAGCTCCAACAACCATAAGGACATCTGCTAAAAGACCTTTTCATAAAAAGAAAACAAAAATTGAGAATTAAAAAGAAATCTTATATATCTGGAACATCAAGGAAATATTTGGATCGTAAAGGAGGAAAACCTAACAAGCTTTTCTTTCGACTTTCTGAGCTACATTTATTCTGGATCTATTGAAGGAGTCAATTTACCCTTATTGGTGCTTTGAAATTAAGCAGTCAATTTCCTCTGATTTATTCTGGATCTATTCCTTTTACTCCTGTTTGTAAAACTTGCAGAACAAATTATCTACTTCCAGACTTCTAGAAGAGATTAAGAGGGAGAGAATTGCTTCGGAATCAGAAAAAGAAAATGACCACAGTTTCGGACCTGATGAAGATAGTGAATTATACTGATAGTCACAATCTTCTTGACTGAGAGAGATCTGTCGAAGAGCTGCATTTCCTCTATCAACAACTAAAAGAGAACAGGTAGGCCTGATGTATACAACATCAAAATCATTTGAAAACTTCGCATCCTCACTGGGCCCATCCCTGTACCCTGCAACATTTGATTTGCCACCTGCAATGGTTGTCACACCTGCAAATAATTTCAGAATTAAACTTTCTGATAATCCACGGTAGTGATTTTCAAGACTGCTCATAGTTTTTTCTTGGTAAGGTAGACTGCTCATAGTTAACCTCCAGAATTTCGCACAAACAATTCCATAATAATATAAATTGAACAATGTTCCCTAACCTGAATCTCCAATTCTTCGGATGGCAAGATTTAAGGTGTCAGCGACATACACGTTCCCTTTATCATCCATAGTGACGCCTTTGGGATGATTGAAACGAGCATCACTAAATTTTCCATCAACATGCCCAGTATAACCTTGAAAAGATCCAGCAACTAATCTTGCTCTGCTATCTGCAACATAATAACATCCTGTGAGGAGCCCAATCCCACAATCCAAGAGCAACAATTTCAATGTTCCAAATCAAACAAATGAGCAGCAGCAAGCAAGCTACACTTTCAAAGACAGCATTATACATTACATTTCCAAGTACATCAGAAACTAATTATAGACAAACCACCTCAAGCAGAACCATTTTTCGCACTGAATTTGTACAACATGTGATTTACAAGTTTAATTTTCCTAGAGAGGAGAACTTTGGTAATATGGATCAATAAAAGTAACTAGAGCATCCTAATTCAAAAAAGCAGCCAAGTATTTTTGCCCACCGCACAGACCTGCCAAATACAAGTAACATGAGTGAGGGCTTAAGAGCTAAGGAAGCATACACTGGGAGAGCGGAGGAGTAATCTTGACGATGTTGCTGTTAATTTCATCCACAGCATAGAGCTCGCCATCATCAGAGACACGGATTTTGTAAGGAACCATGCCAATCGCATTTCCTTCGACAACAGTCTCCACCAAGTACCCATTCTCAAACTGAAGAAGATTCCCATCTGAAGAACAACGCCCGAATCTTTAACAAACAAAATACGCAGTGAAGGCGAAACTACAAGATGTCTCTCGACCGTCAGACCCGTACCTGACTGAGGCGTTTTTGACGAAGCCCTCGTCCACTTCAGAAGAGAGGACATCTGCCTCACCAAGTGCCCTGACGAAAACAAAGATTAGCCCGGACATCATGAGCCAAGGAACACCATACCCATCACGCGAACAGATCAGATGAAGCACAAGCTCGAAACAGCACAGCATTTTCTAAGGCGAAACGAAATTCGGTCGATAAATTTCCAAGAACGCTGGGCGAGGGTTCCAACCAAGCACCGACGAGCTAAAACGCAAAAGAGCAAACGTCCACTGTAGCCACAACTCGACAAGAATTCCAGAGAGAAATGAAGGGCCCTACCAGAAAGAGCAGCATCAGCTCGGTACTCGAGATTGCAAGTGACCAGGACAGCAGCGAGAAGCAGGAAGGAGGAGGAGGAGCAGGAGCTTCTCATGGCGCGCGAGCAAGTAGAAAAGATCGGGCAATCTGAACCCCGTGGGCTTATCTTGATCTTCAAGTGGGTGGCGTCGTTGTGCTCATCGAGGAAGAGCGAGAGAGAGAGATGATTAGATACAAGCAGCAGCAGCAGCAGCAGCAGCTGGAAGTGGCGAGTGAGTAGTGAGTGACAGAGAGCGAGTTCGGGCTGCGCTTTCCTCCTCTTCTCTGCGCTTTGAGATTGGAACGGTAAAGGCGAGGGGTAAAGAAAGATGAAAAAAGCCTTTCTTGAAATTTCTCTCTCCTTTTTTTCACTTTTCTTGTTCTTGGGTCGTTTTTCATTCCAACTTTTGATCTTGGCAAAACAGAGAGAAGAGGCGGGGATTTTGGCCCGAAAAGACAGAAAGCAAAGCGAGATCTTTGAAGGAGGGACACGGAGAGAGGGAGAGATTGATAAGATTATTGTGTAATTTGGACGTTCTTAAGAAAATCAAAGAGAGAATGATGTCGGATTCTAGGATTCTATGTTTTTCATATACAGAAAAAAAAAAAAAAAAAAAAACACTAACTAGAACACCTGCTAATGTACAAATGCTAGATTATGATTCCGTCCCACGGCAGATCTGTGTGGAGTGCTGCTCTGTGTGTGCCGTGGTTTGAACATAAGAATGTGGAGATGCATGTGGATGGTGGGCAGTTGGTCCCAGTAGTTAATATTTCTTTTCTGGGTCAAGATTTGAAAGAATGTTAAGTTATCAAAAGCCAAGATATGGATTGAGGTTGTGTTCAGATGAGCCAAAACTAGGTTCCTGGCAACTTATCTCTTCGTGTCCTCTAAAGGGCTTTCGACCATCTCAATTAGACCGCCAAATGCAACGATTGAAACATGCACGGTTTGCCTAAAGACTGAGCTGGAAAACATAGCGAGCTTGCTTCATCAAAAAGTTTAATCATGCACATAGTGTAATTCAACATCACCCCTCTCGATTTGATTGGACGCTTAGTTTATAAATGACAATCATTCTGTTTCAGGCCACTATTTTTGTTCCTGAACGAGTTTTTGAGCAAAAGAATACGTTTGATAACGACACAAAATTCCTGTTCTCGAAATAAAAATTTATTTGATAACGGCACAAAATTTATCCCTCTCGGGTGGCCTGCGGGTGGCCGGCGAGTGGACGGCGGGCGGATGGCCGCGGTGGACAATGGTAGCGAACGGCAGGCTGCGAACGGCAGGGGGAGGCGGCGGCGGACGGTGATGGGTGCCGGGTGGGCAACTGGCTAGTAGCGAGAGCGAGCGATGAGAAGAATTTTAACTTCTCATTTCTATTTCGGAAATAAAAAAAAGTAAAAAATTTTAACTTCTCATTTCTGTTCCAAAACATATTTCTGAAAACAAAATTCGCTCCAAAAAAAAAGAAAAATGAAATTACGTTACCAAGCGGATTTCTATTCCAAACCTTTTTCCGGAATAGAAAAATATAAACAGGATGGTTATCATTCGCAGCCTTAAATACTAAATTATGATTCCTTTCGTTTACCTGCCACTCCCATCCGACCAGTTTACCACGAGACTCGTCATGCTCAAGTTCTTATCATCTCGACTCTTTCTCCTCAGCCTCATCGGGATCGAATAGTAACTCGGCCAATCCCTCGCATCACATGTTTACTGGAAGAGGCCTCGCTACAATACCTTTCTTTCAGCCATCGTAATCGGACTGCTCTAGATATTAAGAATTAGCGATGCATACGCAAATGCGATGGTGTACGATGTAACGTAACGTAATACTAAGATCAGGGTTCCCTGACGCGGTCGATACGAGGGGGGTCTCCTCATCCACGCCCGCTTTCCCTTTTGCCCAAAACAGAAATTCCACGTCATCCGCTCCCCTCCCAAGCTGTCGGGGACCGATTCGCGTGCACCGCGTCTCCACATCGACGCGTGAAGCCTCACCCTCGCCGGGCCGTCCCCCCCAAGAGCATAAGAACCAGCCCTCGTCGTCGTTGACAATTTCTCTCTCTAGCGAGGTCCAGTTCCGGCCAACTCTCTCTCTCTCTAGAATCGCCAATCCGCGAGGTAATCTCTCCGTCCCCGTTCTTCCCCCGGTTCGAATGCATTGGTTTGGGTTTATCCGCGCAGCTCTCGGCTCCCTGATCTCGCCCGAGCTCGCGATTTCGAAATTCGTAGATCCGTTGGAGAGAATAGAGAGCGAGGAAAAGTCGGTAGATTTCTCTCGATCTGTTCATGCACGCGCGGCGTCAAGGTTGCTCTTTTCTGCGAGCAATTGTGTACGGATGCGCGGGCGCATGTTGGGTCTGCGTCTTCTCGTGTGGGGTTTTTTTTTCTTGAATTCGCATGCGCGTTGGATCCGAGTTCCATCGGTTGTTGTTGCTCGTTTCTCCGGTTTGTGCTCGTTCCGGGCTTGGGACGAGGATGTCCGGGTTGTTAGGACCCGCATTGTAGTGCAATTGTCTGTGCTGTTATTGGGTATTGCTGCTTGTTGTCTCTGCTTTGATTAGGATTGGAATTTGCCGCGATATTTCAGTAGCCTGAGCTGCTTATTTCTTCGTTGAAATCATATCTGAGAAAATTGATTGTTCTGCTTCTTGCTCCTGAATTTGACTGTAGCCAATTAGACTGTTTACTTTAGTTGGTGTTGGACTTCATGTGCTGAACAACATCTGAGGTCAAAAAACAGGCTGACGTATTTTTCTAGTGCGCTCAGGGTTTCTCCAACTATTGTAACTGACTCATTGCTGACTGACTTAGAAGATAGAGCATAGAGAAAGACGTGTTTTGAGATATTCTTCGGATTAGTTGAAATTTGATAAATCGGTAAATTCTTTGACAGCCCTATACTAACGAGGAGTTGCCTAAGTAAGCTGTTTTTAGAATCAACAGTCTTCTTAGTGATGTTTCGCTCCTCTTGAGGTTCCCATCAAACAGGCTGTTTGGTCACTGAGTCTGAGGATTTGTAGGCGTAGACACATGTCTTTATTTTGTTTTGAGGTTATAAATCTTGGTTGCCACATCTTGTTGATGTTATATAGCTTTGGACCGGACCCATGTTAGTGAGATAAGGCGTAGTTTGTTGTTGTTATTGTGAGTTGCATAGGGACACTTACCATTTGAGGCATAGGGTTGCTGCTGATAAAAAAGTTAATTCTTACAAGGGTACTATTGTTTCACTCATATTCCAGGTTTAACCTGAAGAGTCTCAGCTATGGGAGGTGGATTTAGGGTGCTTCACCTTGTCCGGCCATTTCTTTCTTTTTTGCCTGAGGTTCAGAGTGCTGACAGGAAAATTCCATTCAGGGAGAAGGTCATATACACTGTGATCTCCCTTTTCATCTTCTTGGTTTGCAGTCAGCTTCCTCTATATGGGATCCACTCTACAACAGGTGCAGATCCTTTCTACTGGATGCGTGTTATTCTCGCATCAAATCGTGGAACTGTCATGGAGCTCGGTATCACTCCGATCGTAACATCTGGATTGGTGATGCAACTTCTGGCTGGTTCTAAGATAATTGAAGTGGACAACAATGTTAGAGAGGATCGTGCCCTTCTGTAAGTTTCTAGGCATGAATGATGCTGCTCTCTTTTCTTTTCTGCTTTCTACCTTTGCAAATGCCAAAAGGACCTATTTCTAGCCTTTGGGATTTTATGATTGCTCTTTGGTTTCTGGAAAAATGGTTTGTGGCAGCGCATCATCACCTTTTTTATTGAGTACAAAACTAAAGTGGAAGTGCTGATGCAGATTGAATATCTTTCTTTCCAAACACCTGCTGCTAGTCCGTTTGATAGTTTGATCATCTGCTGTGCTTGTTGCTCTTCTGGGCCATATCTTTGGCAATAAAATGAATTAGAGCCAGTGCTTGGATATAAACTTCTTTCGTCCCCTTCTCAATTTTAAATTTCTAATGGGTGTCCCCTTCTTGCAGGAATGGAGCACAGAAGTTACTGGGTATACTGATAGCCATCGGCGAGGCTGTCGCCTATGTTCTCTCGGGCATGTATGGCAGTGTTGGACAACTTGGTGTTGGAAATGCCATTCTCATCATCATCCAACTTTGCTTCGCTGGCATCATCGTGATATGTTTGGATGAACTTCTTCAGAAAGGATATGGTCTGGGCTCTGGAATTTCCCTTTTCATAGCAACCAATATCTGGTAAGCAGTATTTTCCTGTATATAAAGCGGCATTGATATCACTAACTTCAATCAATGCTTTCTTTGGCCAAAAAAGATCAATGCTTTTTGAGAGATTTTATTTATCGACTGTATTAATGAGCCATGATGGCAGTGTATAATAAATATGAGACAAATACTTATAGGTTGAATTTTTTGGTCGCAGCGAAAGCATTATCTGGAAAGCATTCAGTCCCACGACCATTAACAGTGGGCGAGGAGCTGAGTTTGAAGGTGCTGTGATCGCTTTATTCCATCTCCTGATTACGCGGACAGATAAGGTCCGTGCTTTACGAGAGGCCTTTTATCGGCAGAACCTTCCAAATGTGACAAATCTGCTCGCGACAGTCTTGATATTCCTCATTGTTATATACTTCCAAGGATTCCGTGTGGTTCTGCCAGTGAGGTCGAAGAATGCCCGTGGCCAGCAGGGTTCTTATCCCATCAAGCTTTTCTACACCTCAAACATGCCAATCATTTTGCAGTCTGCTCTTGTTTCCAACATTTACTTCATTTCACAGGTATACCATGATGCTCTTTTTTTATGTATGACCAATGAGTGAGCTTTTGGCGTTTGACAAACTAATGACGTCATGCATGTGCATGCAGTTGCTTCACAGGAAGTACAGTGGAAACTTTATTGTTAACCTGCTGGGTAAATGGAAGGAATCAGAATATTCTGGTGGTCAGTATGTTCCAGTTGGTGGTCTAGCATATTATATAACTGCACCTTCAAGGTAATTTTTATTTGTCACATTGAATGGGGTGCCTTTTTCTTTGTCTTCTTGTGACAGAAATCACTCTTGATTGACGTGTTGGCATATTTTGCAGCTTGGCTGACATGGCAGCTCATCCTTTCCATGCACTCTTCTACCTTGTGTTCATGCTCACAGCATGTGCTCTTTTCTCAAAAACATGGATTGAAGTTTCTGGATCCTCTGCCAGAGATGTTGCGAAGCAACTCAAGGTATAATTACACGTTCTTCTTTCTGTCACTGTTCATCTGATATTCATTCCTCTTAGGTTCTCTGTTGTAGAATGATCATTGACATGTAAAAAGAATAATTTTACTACTGACTGGCATTCTGGGATTCACAAACATTTAAAGTTTGAAGTGCGCGCGTGGTATTGTTGTTTTTCTTTCAAGAAGAGCTCAGCAGCTTCAATGGTCATTTTAGTGTGCACTTGATTTTGTCGGATGGACATTTTAAATTCGTCGTTTACAATGCAGAAGAGGGCAAAGAGAGAAACTGCATTTAGAGTGGCTTGGGTGTTCTGATCATGTAAAAGAGAACCTCTCAAGTCTCATAGTTGCTAATGTTTAATATTCATCTGGCTCTTTTTTTTTTTTTAAATAGCTGCAGTAATAGACGGGGATGAATTGGATGAAGGATGTGACACTGTTTTGCTGCTTAACATTTTACTGTCTCTTACCTATTCTTGTTTTGCTGCTTTCTAGGAGCAACAAATGGTGATGCCTGGCCATCGGGAGTCCAACTTACAGAAAGAGCTGAGCCGTTACATTCCAACCGCTGCGGCATTTGGGGGCATGTGCATCGGTGCGCTAACAGTGCTGGCAGACTTCATGGGGGCAATCGGTTCGGGGACTGGGATCCTCCTTGCAGTCACCATCATCTACCAATACTTTGAGACATTCGAGAAGGAAAGAGCTACTGAACTCGGTTTCTTTGGTTTCTAAATTCATCTTTAACATATTGGTGCTGACCTCCTGCAGTTTTGAAATTAAGTTGAGATATAGAATAGACCGAGTCAACACCAGTGGTTTTAGTTTAAAAGTAGAACAGTTTTTTGTTTACTAACTTTTTGTTTAACAGAGCGGAGGAATGCAAGATCTAAAGATTGTTTACTCGAACATTTCAGTAGCCTTCTGGTTTTACTTTTCCTCGCATGAGCTGACTTCCATACTGTTGTCTCTCTCTTTCGCGAAGATTGAGTCTACTTGAGTGTTCTATCTAAAGACTTGGAAGGAGACTCTGCTCGATCTAGTATCTAAGGAGCCAACACTTTCGTGTTTTGACATTCTATTGATGGTTCATTATGGTATGGATTCTTCCTTATGTCGGTCAACGGCTAAGAAACGAACAACAGATGGCTGCCTGGTTTAGTGCAAGATTGCGGAAGTATCGAGTTTGGAGTTAAGATGGGAACTTCTTTGTCGCTGCCAATGCACGTTCAATGCTTGACATTCTAGTCCGTTGTCTAGTGACAGTTCTTGGTGAACCCGTGCTTGTGCTGGATATTAACAAAATAAGTGGGTCCAAAATTGACCATCGGCTAATTCAACAACTTTTAAGTGGCGTGTTCATACGCATTGCGTATGGTACGCTCTTGTTAGCGTTTTAGGGGCATGCTAATATGCAAATGCACGTGCTACCGGAAGCAGTTTAAGTCTTAATAATGTTAGGGAAAAAACCGCCAAAAATTCATTAATGTTGTAATCGATTTTCTACTTTGAAGTTCAGGTCTTTAAAGTTCGTTCATTCCCATCCAGAAAGAAGGTTTTGACACACGGTTGCCCAAAAGTCAGAATTTTGTCCACTCTTCATTCAATAGAACCATGAAATCTGGAAATTTTTTCCATGTTGTGGCTGGCTTCTTAAATAACAGAAATAGTTGGGAAAAGAATCGGAAAAGTCTTAAAGCTACTGCATTAGTGTCAATTTACTCCTAAACTATTTAATTATGCCAATTTAGTCATTAACATTTTTGTCTCATGCCAATTCAATCCTCCTAGATACTGTTGATGTGGACGCCGGCCTGCCTACGTGGCACCGTCGGCACTAACGTTAAAAATTTTTCTAATAATATTTTAATATTTTTTCCGATTTTTTCTAATTTTTTTCTTTTCTTTTTTCCTTTCATCTTCCTTTTGCCAGTGACCGGCCATGGCCGGTCAGGCTGGCCTCACCTGGGTGAGGCTCACCAGGCAAGGCCAGCCATCACCTGCCACAGGCGAGGCCCTGCCAGGTGAGGGCAAGCCCCCAATGAGGGCTCCACATAGGACTAAATTGTCGATAATAAAAAAAATCAATAAAATATTATTAAAAATTATCTACGTCAGCGCCGGTGAAGCCATGTAGGCCGCCTGTGTCCACATCAGCAATATCCGACCAAAATTATCTTGAAAGATTAAATTGGCACTAAATCAAAATATCTATAACTAAATTGGCATCGATACAATAGGTTTCTGACACTTTTCTAGAAGTAGGTTTCTTAAAGCTAGACAGGGTTATGAGTAAGAGAGGCCCTCTTGGCTTGGTAGGCCAGAAATTTTGTGGGTGTGTCCATAAGGTCGTGCAAGGCGCAACGCGGTTGGGTTAGTTTGGTTTGGTTTCCGATTTCAAAGATGATACAATCTATCATGTCTTGTGGGTAAGATGTTCAGCTCAAGCGATTGTTGGGTTTCAGGAGCATCCTCTGTGTTCTGAGGTGATTTTGGGGGCGAAAGCAATTTCGAATCGAGAGTGAGCTTATCTGCTGGGTGAACAAGTAAAAGATGGCGCTTTCTCATCTAAGGGGCTTTGAAGCGTGGGATGTTTCCCCATTACCGGTCGAGAAAACCGAGGGGAAAATGACACAAACAATCTCTGAACTTGGACTCAATATGTAATTTGATCTCTGAATTTTTAATTTGTTCAATATAGTCCCTGAACTTTCAATTTATTCAATGTGGTCCCTGAACTTTTGGTACATGTTCAATGTAGTCCTTCCATTAATTCAAGTTCAGGAACTATATTGTACATTTTCATATAGTTCATGTACTAAATTAAATACGTACCAAAAGTTTATGGATCACATTGAACATTAGGCTAAAGTTCAGGGACTACATTGAACAAATTAAAAGTTCATGGACCAAATTGCACATTAAGCTAAAATTCATGGATTATTTGTGTCATTATCCCAAAACCGAGAGATCGGCCGTGGTATACATTTCTTCTATCAAACATTAGACAAGTTTTGAACAGAGAGCCCCACTTGGCTTCGGACCGTAAATAATTCCCGAGTGGGTCGTCTCCATATGATGCTTAGGATGCCAAACCATGTTGCGTTTCGATGTGGACTCTAGTGGCACAGTGCAGGCACAGGGGAAAGCAAAAACGCCGAGTGGGAAACACCCAAAATGCCTGCAAAATCTGCCCCCGTCCCACCCCCGCCTAAAGTTCGTCTCATCACATCAAAATCTTTGGCACTGTGAACGTGATGGAGTGCATTTTTCCCCCCCTTTTCTTTCCCTTCATTACCTGCTCGAAAATCTTGCTGTAGTTAGTAGCAGCGTGATTGCGAGGGCGAATGCAGAGCCATGCCTGCAAAAATCTCCCGAGGCTCTCTTGTCCTTTTCCCCGTGTGTCAAAGGCGCTTTTGAAAGTTAAGGGGGGCCCCTCTCTTCTTTTGCTCGGCATGTGACACAGAGGATGACTGTGGAAATCATTTCGGAATAGCAAAAGTTGGAGCTTCAGCCGAGGAATGTGAATTTGATTTGACCCAATATAGAACTGCAAAGAATTTCGAGTGGAAACCAGGCCCTCCCCCCCTTGAGTTCGGGGACACGAGCCGAACGAAATGGAGATGTGGCTAAGTCCCCCCGTCCATCATAGGAATTTCCTTTTACGATCAAAGTCGAAATCTAATGATTATTAGAGCGAGCCCCGTATAAGCCGACATCTCCTGAAGTAAATGGAAACGAAAAGAAAGAACGCTCCCGAGTTTCAGGACACGACGTATCAGGGTGCGTCGAGAACACAAAAAAAGCATAACCTTACTTGACGTGATACGCTTCATGTATTTCTTTTACCATCATAAACCCGACTTCGAATCGGTAGAAACGATGTAATTTGTATCTCGAGCCTCGATGGCATTTGTTTTTCTTTTAATTCCCCACGTGTCAAGCTCAACCATGAAGGTGGTGCAATTCATATATAATTTGTTCGCTTTGTTTCTGTATTAATAGTCTCTGCCCTAACCCTAGATCTCAAGCTAGGGCTTTCCTCGCCTGATGAACAACATCATAATACTGCATGTGATTACGTACATAACCTGGATCTATCCTAGCTTAATGCGAAAGCCTCCTTTCATAAATCATGCCACCCTCTAATTTACGAATTTTGAGATCTTCTTCTTCTTCTTCTTCCCTTTTTTTACGCGAAATATCTTTTTGCATAGTCCTTTGTTTTAATCGAAATCTTATTGCATGGTCTAGATTCAGGGGTTCTTTATCATCGGGTCTGGGCAATGAAAAGATTGTAGGCATGGGGCCTCTTTCATCATCATCGCCACCGCCATTTGCCACTACTTTTTCCGTACTTTATAAAATGGGGAAAAGTAGGAGAAAATCATTAAATTCTTTGATCGGAATAGCCATAATAATCTGCTTTTGGATAGAACGGATATATTTTTTTTGAAAAGATTTGGGAGGGGGGAATCGTATAGTCACCATCATATCACCCCCTTTTTTTTAATTATTATTGTTATTATGCAAGAGATTTTTTTTTTTGATAACCGAGGTATCCCACGTGCAATGGACTATTCCTCGGGGTGATGAGGTACAAGACCAATGCCATCGGGTAAGCCCCCAAGATGTGATCGGCGGGAGTTGAACCTAGGACCTCATCAGTTTAACTGTCTGAGGCCAGGAACTCTCAACCACTTGACCAATCACCCCATTGGTAATGCAAGAGATTTTTAATGCCGGCATATTCTCGATCTCCCATCTATTCTGCCTTTATTTTCAACTTTAAATTCTTCGTTTTGCATTTAGCACGATGCTTTCTTCCACGATATTAATACGTCCTAATCGATGACTTTTCTTTTCTTTTCTTTTCTTTTTAGGAAATATTATCTCGATCTCGAGAATTTATGCCGCCAACCACGAGGAAGGAATTTCAATCGACGAAATCTTCAAAAGTCGGATGAATGATTCAAACATTTGGGAGAGATCTTTTGACTAAAGTATTTGGGTGGAGACGAAGCTTCTTTCGTGTTTGTCCGTGCAATTAATCGTTTCTTTCTTGTTTTTCTACGGTATTATTTGTTTGGTAAGTCTTTTTCTAAAGTCATCGACGCATTGCTTGGAAGTTACATCGAGAGAGACCGTTTGTGTCCTGGTGCGCTGGACTCGTGTAAACAAGGGTCGGCAATCAATTCTAGAAGGCGGCCATCTTGTTTCCTCCATTGGAATTTTCGACGCTTGGAAAAAGAAACGGAATTGAAGTTGATGGATTCCATGACTCTGGCCTGTTCAAAGTTCGAGAACGGAGGTGGCCGAAAATTAAACTTTTGTATGTGATTATGTATCGATTAATTTCAGCTATTGGTTTATGAGAATAAAATTTTTTTATCGGTGGTTGAGATTTGTAGAAGCATGCGCAATAGATGATCCTCGTCCATGCCTTGGGAACGCTCGATTAGGGACTGTAGAAGTGCAAAAGGCGTGAGTCCAACATTTAGGATTGGCTCGTGCTAAGTTTGGATGTTACGATCCGATTTTAGTATAGTCTCTCTGAGAAATATTTCTTTTTTAATTTTTTCGTCTCATCTTTTCTACCACAAGTTTTCTTATTGTGAGAGTAATAAAAAACAAATTATTTGGGTGAGGGAAATGCTCTCTCTCTCTCTCTCTCTCCTGCTAGCTTGGATTTATGTGAGAAATCATGACACAAGGAAGCTGTAATGGTTACATCAGATAGGTTATCTGTACTTGCTAAAGTAAATACTAAATCGGCGCAATTGAAAGATTTATAATTAAATTAGCTGTCGTATAATAAATTTCTAACTTTTTAGATATTCTAATTCCTTCAAACGCGCTATGCGCACGTGTCTGATTCGAGATGGATTCGAATGATATGGAGGAGGAAA